GGGAATTTTGACAGGTACTTGAAATGGATTCCTAAGATAAGTGATATCATCCGACAGACGATATATATATATATATATATATATATATACTAAAGGACATGACATATGTATTCATTTGGTGTATGTAAGTATTTGGACACTTTACAAAATGACAAGCCATATACTCAATTTTAGTATTTGGGTTGTACATTATAACTGTTCAGTTTATGCTCTGCTCTGATGAACGCGATACCCTGTCGATGTGACCGGTCGAGTACGAAGCAAGCTTATCCCTACCTTGGGTGGCGGTGTCCTGTCTCGTACGGTGCTGTCCACTAAAACGTCACGCGATGTAGAACTGCAGGACGGTCACTGTATGTTGGATTTGGTGATATTTTCGTTGTCCAAGCTGGATTCAATGAAGTTCAAAATCATAACCTCAATAGCATCCTCTAACGGGAATTGAGATGTCCCCTACTATACGACAGTGGGAGTTCTGACCAGAGCATGTAGTAGTCAGATTTACAGGTACCGGAAATCCGCGAAAAGTTCAAAGTTACCAGAGCCCAGAGAACTAGTGGTTGCTGTGATATTGGCGTCCTCAGAACGGCAGATTCAAAGGGTTCCGCGGGTCGTTAGACCTAACGTTCCATTTAATTGGGGTCCCCAAATCAGACCCAAATGATTGTCTGGGGTTGGTAGACCCAACGTTCCAATAAAGATTGTGTCCCCAAATCAAATCCCAATGGTTTCCGCGGTGCGGTAGACCAGACGGATCCAGAGAAGTAGGTGTCTACAAAACAGATCGAAAGTAGTTCCAGCGATCGCGTCGTCAGACCTCCATGATTTCGACGTTTACGAATAACTTATTATAATATTAAGATTAACATTAACTATTTTGTAGTTCAGACGTCATCTACACTGATGGATATGAAACAATGACTGTAAACTGATGTGAAACACAAATAGTGGTGGCAGATTTATACACGACCTCCTCTGCTGTTTATGAGGACCGTTTGCCTAGTATATCACAGACGTATGTGCATGTTTGTTACTATAACTGGTCCACCACTGAAATATTCATACATTCCAGATTTTAGATTCATTCATTTGCATCCTATACAACTACCAGGTCAGAACGCCCTCTCGCTTATGTCACTGTCACAGTCGCCTTTGTTTGACATCCAAATGGTTTCCTATTCCAAGGTCAATAGACAGCTAGTTGATTCCATAGAAGATGTTTATCTCATGTAGAACAGTACGTACAACTGATGGCAGTGCTTTGTGGCATATAAAGGTACCCAGTCACTAGTTGCAGGATTCTTGAATTACATTGACCACGACATAGTACGGACATCAAATAGGACTGCAGTCAACAACGAAACTCAAATCAATGCATCAGAGTTGCTAAAGAAAGTGACATCCCTAATTTTGGAACTAAACATCTGTTACCTTGGTGATATGTCCTGTTTTGTCTCGGTAATAAAGGTATACGTTGCCTTGGTGATAACATTATACGCTGCGCCTTGGTGATAAGACTCTGCGTTGTTCAGTAACATGAACGGGTGAGACCAACGGCACCATATATCACATTTATAACCGGACCTCCCGAGGTAGAACCCCTTCGTTTTATCGGCGAGTACTTCAGATAGTTAAGCGATCATCAGACTCCAGACAGACAATTGACGTCATTTGTAGTTACGGACGATATGGACGGAATAGAACCAAGCGGACGTAAATCTCCGGGCTTCCGAGCCGCCTATAGATGTAAGACTGACGATACTCCAGAAAGACAGACGCTGCCTCAGTATTCAGCACCATACCATTTATTGTCCCACCTATAGTTACAGTATGTAAGTTTGTACGTACGGGTGAGAAAGGTCCCAACTGTACGGACTGGACACTGGTCGGATCCCGTCTGTGATCGGAGATCTGTCCTCTGGTTGTTAGAACAACCTCCGCCACTGATCGTTCTACAGACAACCCAGGGGCGTACTTGTTTGATATACTCTGTGTTAATCGTCCGTGCGTTCCTTCTCTGACCCCGTAATCGATCTGTCCTGACCGCTGTTCATCGGCCCAGCACGCCCCCCGGTCTGATCACCTCTCTGGGCTACAGATTTACTTTAATAGCTGAAGTTTTTCGTTCAGTATTTAAGTCATGTATCGACAAAACTAAACAACATACACGTTCAAAACGTTCAATCATTCAACGAATGAAATTTATGTTTTATTTGGATTGACTTTTTTTCTAAAAATCGTGTAAATTTTGGGCAGACATTTAAACTCATATACAGTAACATTAATAATGACGCGCCCCACGAGACAAGCAAGTGTTCGTCGTTTTGATCGAGCACAATCCTGGGCACAGGAGTCGAGGTGCATGAACAACGCCTAAACCCATATGTATTGTTAAACTGTTCTCGTACTATTTTTGCAGATCGCCCGTCCAGCGGTTTATCTTTCCTCTATCTGCTTGCCTGATCTTTTATTAAACTTACAGCTTCATTGACATCTAAAATAATTCACAAAAATGTATCAAAGTTTGTGTTTATACACAATCTATTTATAATTGATTTTGATATTATATTCAAATACAAGAAACAAGACACATTATTTCTGTCGTATATATTTTGCATAAAATATTAGCTCTGAAGATAGTCTTACGACAGAACATATAAAAATAGCATAGTGGGCATCAATGTAACAAACATACAATGAGACAAAGAAGCACATCAAAATTGAAACTAGAAATAAACATGGCCATAGATAGAAACATGCAGGAAATTACATGCGTATAAGAGTTGACTTATAAAAATCCATTTAATAAAACATTTAACCATAATCAATAAATCCAGGAAAAATATTTTACACTTTTAGGTTATATATGATTAAGATATTTATAAGTTATAATTATAAAAATAATAATCAAAACTCAAATATTTATAAAATACATTTAAGTTAGTAAAGATTCTGATTATCTTATCTTAAATACAGTAGAAATTATAAGTTCAGAGGACAGACCATCCAAACATATTTAAAAGAAATTGACTGGACAAAACATTCCGCAGATCGTTTAGTACAGTTTGGGCCATCCCAAGTGTGAATCAGCCGCCGGAATTTGAATGCTTATTCCTATAGTAATTTTGAGGCTATCGTCTGTTTACTACATTCGATGAAGGGCTTACTATCCGAATCCTCGACCATTCTCGCTAGAAAGTAGTATTTCCTGACATCGAGTCGGTATTGGGTTCTTTCGCTTATAGTTGTGACTGTTTCGCATGTTTTCCACTGTTTTCCGTACTGTTCTCGAAGAAGGATGGATGCCGGGATCACGTCGTATCTCTAGTGCCGGTACTGAAATGAGGGAAATCGTAGGCCTCTGAGAGGGTTCGACTTTTCAGCAATGTTGTTAACTAGTGTAGCCCTTCGCTGTGCATTAGCAAGACTTATGACTCTTTCATCTGTCATTTATCATCGACTACAACAGTGTTACAAGCATAATAACTACTCGGTAATTTGTCGGTTATTTTTCTGTTCCTTTGTTTTGTAGATGCACGTACTATAGAGATACTATTAGCATCTCTACATTGTGATGTGCATTCGTTGACTGACTTTTCGAACAACTATTGACCAAGGTTGACAGATATTGTTTCTCAGTTCAAAAATGATGTAATTGGGTCAAAGTATGTCCGTTCTATTTAACCTGGAGTGTCATCTCCATTTTGAAATTGGTTCTATTTGATCTTGATCTCTGTCTGTGAACCTATATCGCTCCAAAACAGCGTACAATGCTTGGCTTTCCCCTGTATCGTCCTCAATCAGATGTCCATCCATGTTCTCCAGCGGTCCCCAATGGACTTTTTCTTGGTTTGGATATAATTTGTAGCGTGTTTTGGAAATGTTCATGAAATGATCTATTGAATTATTCACTGTTAATATCTTATATTTCGCCTTTTTAAAGTAATAGCGATATGCCTTGTTGTTCTATAGTGTTCGTGTTTCTATGATGACTTTTTCACTTATTTCGAACATCTAATTTGTAAAGAGGTAGATAAGTCACTTGCAGTTGTGTGTTGCTTCATATATCGCCTTTGCACAAGATTATATATGTCCTCTTATGTTCTATATTTACATTTGCTCTACATTGCCACTATATAACACTACCAAAGCCGGTTCCTAGTTATGAGACCATAACACAGGCGTAGTGGTATCTCCACGGGTCCGACTAACTATCGAATCACTATTCCCTTCCGCACTAGCAAGCAGATAAGCAAAATGAAAACAACTGTGATCCATTTATCTTTACCGTTTTATTCAAGACTTGTAAAATGTGAATTGAATACACTGATTGACCAAATAATGGAAATAGTATCGACACTTTTGTGTTTATTTCAACGAACTAATTTTTGTATGCGGAAAGTCACGAGACAACATTCTGTGAGCAATTCCGTGGGTTGTTCTACCTCTTGAACAAACAACGCAAAATTCGAATTTAAAAGTGCGTTGTGAACTTAAAAATGAATATTGAAAAAATAAAAATGTAAATATTAATTTTGCTGTATAATTTATACCGCCTTTAGTCATAAGTATCGATGTCCATTTTATAGTAATTGTATGTAATTGTGGGTAATTCTTTTGAACACTGACCGCTTTATGTTTATCAACAGGTTACGGGCTATATCATGTGTGTGTACATATCGATTACGCATTGGCGTACATATGAGAGTCTTTGGAACTCTGATTTTCTATGAAATGGATACACGTTTAAGACAGCCACATCTCATCAAGCACCTTACTTCCAGAAACCAATTCTAATAACTGGATGTATTCAGACATGGAAAGATAAACATTATGAGAACCACAATTGTAAGATTTTGTAAACAACGTAAGGATAAGTCAGATATTTATTAAGAAGTAAAATTGGCTGTTACATATAAAATGTAAAATGTTTTGTGTTACAGCGTCAAAATTAGAAAGACAAAAAAACGGTGGTGAATGGTGTAATTTTGTTTTGCAAATTGCAAATCCTTGCATTTACTAATGCGTAATCGACAGTCATTGCAAGTAAACATATTTTTTTTATTTCTTTTTGTAAAATAGCCATTCATGATCTATCGAGATTGATTTCGAACGAGAGAAAGAAGAAGATGGAGAACGAGCAGACAGACAGAGACAGGATGAGGTCTTGATCCTTGAAATATAATGATTGATACGGCAAAACGAATGGATTAATTAGATAAAACCCTGACGCGGTATTAATCTTTATGCCATGGCGTTTGTTTTGATGCATTAATCATTGTTTTATCTAAACTGCACAAGTCATTACCTTTTATTGCAATACCGTTGATGCAAAACATTTTTCTTAGATTTACTTAAAATGAGACGACCGGGTGGTGTCAGCATGTTTATAGAAAAGGATGATATCCATAAAATTACTTACACGAAAAAAGCACCAATCTCGATCATTTCGAGGTCAACAAAGTTGGCCAGTTTTGAATCCCGATATATTGGTAACTTGTGTTGAACCTCTGAAATATTTGTATAAAAGTTGTTTGTTTGTCAATAATATTGATTGTCGAGTCCAGGGCATTCCCTGGTAAAAGGTTGGATTGTTGTGTTAGGAACACCCCTTCGTAAAAGTTTTCTTTGTCGATTTCGGGACATCACAAAAACACGTTATCTTTCTTTACATATTGATACTATTGGAAAGTTTTGGAAATATAACAAAAACGGAGCCATTGACTAGATTTAGCGATTTTGAAAAAAGTGTTTATGAAATTGACAAAGTATAGATGTATTGTTTATTTTTGAATGTGTGTTTTGATCCTCATAACGAGCATTTCAATGTGCCAGGACGAGCGTAAACCATTAAGGATATGACAATGTTATTAAGTTTTGATATAAAGTATATAAATAATGTATGAATGACGTCACTCGGATGAATACTCGTTATTTATTAGCTATATCTCTAACATTTTATTAATCATATCATTGACATACTTATACTTATACTTACATATATATATATAACATAGGAACATGTATACAAAAATAGGCAGGCACAGATTTGAGGACACTTCCCCTTGTCACTTAAAATCACCATTATACATTTTACTGAGTATCAGGTCGAGATAAACATAGTACAATAATGTATATTTAATGTAAACATTTTGTTCATGTTAACAGCTCACACAGGTAACCAGTAATACGGTACTATACTATTCTCACAGATCATCAACACTATATAGTTTTCACAGTTCATCAACACTATATAGTTCTCACAGATCATCAACACTATATAGTTCTCACAGTTAGGTATAGCACGATATAAGTACTCACCTTCACAAATGATATTGTTAAAACATCCAGTCAGTGGTTATTCATCTAATGTTATTAGCTCATGTTTTGGAACATACATATCCTCGGAAGTAATGGTAAAATAAGGTAGCCACAGCAAAGGGAGATATGACCCTAGATAGCTACATTATAGCGAGGGAGAGGTGACCGGATCTGGCCCCATAATATATAGGGAGGAAGTGGCCTAAATTGGCTACAATACAAACATGCGTATTGATATATTCCTGCTCGAACTTCACTGTCGATTGACCTCAGGTCATAGTTTAGATCAACTAAATTTCGTCTGCGTGTCGCTCACACAAGTTAAATCCGGGCACGTTGTATGGACTAGGAGTTGTATAGACTAGAAATAGACTGGTGTCCGACATGTAACTATTGGTCCCAAGTTACTACGTCCTCAATATGGAAGCATGGCTAGTTTGGTGACCGACATGTCTCCGAGGAAGCGCATAGCTGATTGGCCCTAACAACCAAACATCTATTGGAATTAACGCATCTCAGTGTAGGCGTGTCCATATATATCTATTTACCATTAATAGAATCGTAGTCTAAACAAACGCTTCTATTTTTGGGTTCATTGTTTTTGGCACGATTCATATATGTTTCCATCCGATTGAGGACCTCATTGAAAGTTGTCATGTTTGCTGAATATTTGGTATCCATGCTCTCTACACAGCTCAGTCTAAATGCCGTGTCTGTTCAGGTGGAACCCCCAATTCGAATCTCTGAAACATTGAAAGAAATATGTACGACAAAATATTAACCAGGTGTTCTAAACATAACAATACATTTACTGGTGCTCGGAGTATAACAATGCAGTCATCGATGTTTAAATGTTGTATCATACGGGTATTCTTAATGTATCAATACATTTCCTGTTGTTCTGAATATAGTAAAGCATGTATTGGCGTTCTAAATACAGCAATGCATTATCTGGGTGTTTTTTTTAATTTAATTCAAAAATTGACTTCATTCATACAAAATTGAAAGATAGCCCTTCCACCAAACTGAAGACAAGGGAGATAATTCATATAATTCTTGATGAAGGAGCATGTTTTATGTGAGGTTGATCAATGTTGGTAGCATTCCTAGGGGCAGACTGACATGACGGATGAAACAACGAAATCGTGGAAAAACAAGTTTCATCGAAAATATAAAGGATCAGTGGTACAGTAAAAATGTTTGCTTTGTTAAGCTGTTTGCATCAACTTACTAAATTTGTAAAAAGGTGCATCCTTACTTCTTTTTTCCAGTGAGTATTATTACAAACCTGACCTGACCTATCAAATTAAAATCCTAACAACTCTCCAGTTATCTACACAGAAAAAGGCCACAAGATTTAGCTATTAGGCAATTTCGCTATAAGCTAACCCGACTTTTGGAAATGTCACATTGCAAGAAATAACCTCATCGTATGATGATGATTCTCCTCCAACTGAAGTTCAATTAAATGTTATGGGAAGAAACGTTATGTTCAAAATCTGTGTTATTTTAAACTAGGCCATTGTGATGACCTGTGTTAGTACTCGTCACGTGATACCTACACAGGACGCCACAGGAAGGGGTCACGGCCGTGAAAGAGAGCTCTCCTGTCAACAGAGGTACAACAATTCATTACTTCTTACTAGACATAATCTATCACATTTATCTATGTGACAAACAAGCAAGCGTCAAAATAATCCTGTTTTATTCAAAATTCAAAATTCTCTTACAACCAATACTACAAAATATTATTTTTATACAAATTTAGTAGGATAAAAGAAAAGACTCGGATAGATCACACATCCAACATTTAAATACTGATTGAGTGCACGTGGCATGTTGGTACTATAGTGTTAAAATCACAATTGGTAATATAGGAGCTAGACTACTTCTTATAAATGTCGTTCAGTGAAATCTCGGGGATAAATACGAGATGGATGGAAATCTCGTCGACATCCCGCGAGTTCGTTCGAGATCAAGGAGGACCAGGAATACTTACGTGTTAAACTCATCGAGATCTCTCGTATCTGTGCGAGATGGCCACTCCACGGTCACCCTGGCAACATATCAATAAATGTCACATGACCAATTTGTGTCGGACATAATCTCCAAGTGATACCAGTTTGTCAACTAATTTTATGCCATCGCCTTTTTAAAATTGCTGTTAGTTTCGAAGTATTTCATTATAAAAACATACGTATAATTGTAAATTGTCCTTCAATAAAAAAAAGATCGACCCATCAGAAATACTGGGAAACATGTCATCAAATGTGCATCGTTTTTTTCCGTATGCGAAGGTAGCCATGCAATATTTACGAAAGAAAAAGCACCCCCTTTTATGTTTGCCATCTGATTTATGTCACAAGATATACCAATAAACTTACCTCCTAAGAAGCTCATTTTACAAGGACACTTGACAGTTTATTATTTCGCTATAAGGTTACCACATGTAAAGTTAAATTAATGAAAAGTGGACCAATGCAAATCGAAAACTACTGACCTTGTTTTTACTTTACATTTGTTCTCGTGTTAATCGAAAGAGACTTCCAGAACATGGAAATTAGAATATAGAATCCATGAAGTAAAGACAAGCTTAATGACTTATAAAGGGTCCAAAACGAAAATTCATGAAAAACGTGAAAGGAGTTGAAGTTCAGATAATTTATATCTAGTGCTTGAAAAAAAATCTTTGTTTTTTTACTTAACCTTAATTAGCACGATTCATATTAAAAGATTATACATGCAATTTATCGCGTTTTAACTAAGTTAATGACAGCAACAATGAACATGCTTACAGATCTTTCCGGTGAGGTCGACCCACTGGTGCCCCTCGATCCGAAACCGCTACTGGGACCCTTCGTGATGGTGGACCTCTCAGATTCCCGACCTTATAGTCGTAATCACTTTGTGCACGTTCCGGCCTGTAGTTAATCTCGCTTACAGGTCGGTCCCGTTCATCACCACGGGGACCCTGTTGCCGGTTCCGGTCTGGGTCGCCTTTGTAAATATAGAACATCTCTGCTCCGCGCATTCCCCTTGTAAGCGACCCCGTGACAGAGTTGGCTCTCTGTGGGCGGGGATCTATATGGTGACTGTAAGTAGAAACAAAGTGGGTTTTAACTCTTTAACCGTGCTATGGTTGACTTGGTTAATATGCCCATGAATCAAGTGGAAGGGCCGCAGTGACAAAGGGGTTAAGGCGTCTGATATTCTGTTAACATTAGTCCTCCACCACTGGGTCGCGGGTTCGAGACCAACGTTGGGCAGTAGCCAGGTACTGACCAGGTAGGTCGGTGGTTTCCCCCGGGATCTCTGGTATTTCTCCATCACCAAAATAGGACGTAAAACAAACACAGAACAAAAGGATAACGTGGCGCGCGTTATATACAGGTAAAAACAACAGTGATGAACAGGTTATTATATAGAAACCCTACTGACATGATCGCGAACAGGGATCTACGGCTAAGGACGTTGAAGAATTGTTGAAGAAGGCAAACAGTTACTCAGAAGTCAAGTGCAATAACATAGATATTCTCATACATGTGGGGTCGAATGACGTCGAATCACGAACAACCCGGACGAACACTGTGAGCATGAGTAATACAGAGACATGGTGTCTACGTATTTCTTTCTAACATTCTCCACAGTAAACGACAAATACATCAACATATGTAAACCAATCCACTTATACACTTTAACAGACATGTAAACAATTTATTGATATAGGATATATTAATTAAAATGGAATAGCAAAGTATTAAACGAAAATTAACCAATATTACCATATTATACCATATAAACAGGAACACAGTCAACATGGAACAGTTGTCCACTTTACAAGATGTCATCAATATAAAACACTTAAGTGGGGTAAAACAGAGCAATAGAGGTCAGTAACACAATCAAATACTGGTTAAGTTTGGCATCAGTAAAGATTGAAAGCAGAATTTTAAAGAACAGGAATAGTGATCAAAAAGGTTTCATGAAAGGAGCAAATATAAAAAATAGTACTACCTTTTATAAGTAATTGAATAAATATACAGAAACATTTTTCTTATCTTGGATTTGGGGATGATGTGAAGAAATTATTAATTGATACGACATTTAAATGTTCAAATGTTGCCTTCGTAAAATGTTAGAATATGAATCAGTCAGTATCACATTTCATAGATATAAATGACAAAGTGTCAGTTTAAAAAATTCCTGTCCCTACAAAAAGTATTCACTGTTTTTCGAAACGTTCATAGCTTGCTTAGCGGTGGTCCATGTCTGTGTGTTGCTTACCTCAGTTCATAAACACCTTGGTCTAGTTTTTTTACTTTTTGTTTCGACAAGGTCGTCTTTTCTTCATGTCTATCTATTGTTAAAAAATATTCCTTACAATGATACCAACCCCACACAGGGGACCAACAGTTTAGTGACAAGTTATCTACTGACCTGTAAGTACCGTCAACACTGGTACTCCGAGGTCTGTAGCGGTTATCGTTCTTATCGAAGAGAGGTTCATCCCGTCGTACAGGTGTTTCACCTCCCCTGTACTGGTTATCGGCCCTGTATGGAGTATCGCTCCTGTATAAGTTTTCATCTCGGTAAGTAGGAGGGGCGCTGGAGCGCGGAGGCACAACGTAGGCAATTTCGTCAGCGTTGTTCCCTTTGTTGCCATAGTAACCCTTGTTTGCTGACCTTCAACACAAAAATATACGTCTTTATGTAAGGTCAAATATTAACCCAATAAGGAATACTTACTCTTTCTCAACTGAAAATGCAAATGATATTCCAACACCTGGCGTGTGACGTGCGGTGTTCAATTGATGTACGATACAGTGGGTAGCGGATGTGACGTATATATATAGTACCCAAAATGGTACACGTATCTTTTGTTCCTCTGTGACTTGATTGTAGACCGATATATACCGGATGACGTAGTGACCTTTTTTTTAATGACGTAGTACACATACCTTTTCTGGCGGCGAGACTTGGCCGTTCCCTGGACGATGCACACAATACACAAGAGCACCATGATGACGAAAGCACCCACCGCTACCAACACACCAATCAGGATCTTCGTCTCTGCCGTCATGCCTTCGTCAGTCATAGCTTTGTCTGAAGTTATATGTTACACAACCAGAAAACATCATATAAAAGATCCTTTTTATTATTGTATCTGTTGACGATTGTTAACGGGCGTGATAATGTGTTTCTGTAGACAGCACTACATTAATAAACAGTGACAGAAACAGCACTTTAGTTAGTTCGTTTACCAGAGCAATATTAGATATTTGATGTAACTGAATAAAGTTATATCAACAAGGCGTCGACAGAAACATTAGCGACAGCAGCACTTTGGTGGATACTGTAAATTACTTTATTTTCGCGTGATTTTTATTTCACAAACACTACCTTTGTAATTATTTGAAATCGCGATTGAGAGGATGTTATTTCACTATTGATAGTAATCTTATCTATTGAATATAATTTATATTCGGGTTAGACTGAATTCGCGTCTGAATGAGGTATCCATAGTACCACATTAATGTTTGTCAACGAATGCAAGATGATTCTCATGTAAGGTAGTTTTATTTTATTTTATTATTTGAAGTAATTATCTAGGTAAACCAACCATACCATACAAACCAACAATAACAAATTGTTTACGTAAGTTTTTTTTATTTTTTGCGAAAAATCATTTTCGCGTTAATTCGCGATAAGGTTCATTTACAAACGAATTTATTATCATTACCACCAATTCTGAAGTATCATCCTCTCTATAAACGACAAAAAAAGTATTCACGAATTAAACCTGCATATTTAACAAAATAAATTTCACGCAAAAATAAAATAGCATGTAATTACAGTAAGCCTTTTATGCTATAACATTTATACGTTTCCCTGTCAGGAAAGTACTGTTGCTCGATGTTGCCTCAATCACAAACAGGAGCTGTCGTATCAAAACTATCACGTGTTCCAAACACTAAAAGTAACAAACCTCCACAGAACGGCATGGTGTCCACGTCCCACGTGCCGTCAGCCTGACACGTGACCTTAGACTGGCCATTGAGGACGTAGGGTGAGTAACAGGACAGCGTGACATCTGTACCTGCTGTCCGGTTGTAAGAGGACAACACCAGTTGTTTATGGTTGGTGGAACTGATGATGTCAGGTTGGCCGTCTTGGGTGTTTAACTTCGAACATACTGAAGACAACAACAAACAATCAACACTTAAACCTGTGGGGTTATTATCACATGATAAGAACAATACAATATCAATTTTAGACTAACCCATCTCTAGAAAATTGAATGATTTAGAAAATATAAACTCTGATAATTTTGATCACTTTGATGTATAATGCTTTAAAATCTCAATCTTTGCGGAGATAGGTGGGCAGCTGCATAAAACACACTGTACAAATTAGGGGCTAGTAGCCAGTCAACATCAAATTTGATTTGAAGGCAAAACATCTAATTCGAGAGATAATCAAATTTGTTTAAATTTATAACTAATACAAGAAGGAAAGGCGATACATCATTGCCGACTTCACATTTATATTCGTCTAGAAAGGTGTATTTATCACCAATTTGTACACAATTGGTATGTACAGTATTTATGTTTGTACCGTTTTTAAATCGTATATGTCAACTGTCGATATGTCCCTAACAAACGTTTCCATAACGGTAGTGATATTGATACAGATAAACGGCTGTATCATAGTAAGGTAGATGCCGGGTACTTCATAAAACGTGACCTCCATGTCAAAACAAATTATCAAAATACGGAGATAGACGTGAACATTCCTAAATTCACGTCATTTAGCAAGTTAGTGCTTAATCTTCAGCCCGGTAACGTAAGGTGTTTCTCCGGGTCAAAAACTACCATCCGTTGATATAGGACAATAGCATCTACTGTCGCATTACTTTTAAGCAAATGTATAATACTATAATTTGTAAGAGATATTAAAGATATAGATACCTACAGTAACTTAGAATTGCTCATGAAGAGTCAGGGGAGCATATGAACATTATACAATTGTTTCATGGCTATTTGGGGAACAGTCAAAACTATCATCCCGAGGTAGGGGGAAGCCCTGGGGAACTGTTTGCCCGAGGCCGCTAGGCCAAGGGCAAACAGTTCCACAGGGCTTCCCCCTACCGAGGGATGATAGTTTTGACTGTTCCCAAAATAACCATGAAACAATTGTTTTATTACCAAATAAATATTAGTATCAATGCTGCATGCAATGTTGCCATTGCTTCAACACTGAGTCGCGGTCACCGAAACGCTTGAACGGGGCTCTCGAGGGGGGATTTCTGCGCATCGAATTCGCGCCGGGTAACAGTTCGCTCCGACCGGGAAAACAGTTTTGACTGTTTCACCCCTACAGCCGAAATTGGACAAAAGGCCAGAAACAGTCAAAAATGACTAATTATAATTTATATAGACTATTGGGTAATAAAACAAAATGACAAGTACTCTCAGTCGACCTTCTACTATGGTTATGATTTTTTTTGGAAGAATTAGATCCCTAACTAATACATCAATAAATATCATTAAAAGAATCACATCTCGCTAATATTCAATCCGGGTGGTCGGGTGGTGCAGTGGATAGCGCACCTGCCTCCAAGGCGGCCGGGGTTCGATTGCCCGATCGGACGTGAAAAGGTATTGGGTCACCTGCCCGAATGCGTGGGTTTTTCCGGGTACTCCGGTTTCCTTCCACAATAAGACCCATCGCGCGCCAACATCCGGGCCAACACGAGTGAATAATATAAGTTGAAACAACTTGTTTCATAATTATTGTAGAATAAATGAAGTTTATATTTTCATAATATTCAAATCACCGTCATGTGACATTTATTTATGTACACGCTGTACTCTATGCAATTACATCAATGACTAAGTCACAATGTTCCTTCATACAAAAACAGCAGCCATTTCAAAAAGCATATACTTTCTGTCAAGATATCTTAATGAAAATGTAAGGAGTTAAAAATAGATTATTGATAAAAATCATTAATTTATAATAATTTATGAATATTCATATTGTTTAGCTATTATCATTTCCCCGTAAATATTTCTCTGTAAATTAACGGCACATTCCGTTATATGAGCCAGCATTGTTACAAAGGTCAGAAAGCGGTCACAGATTTTGTGAAGCCTCAGGATACATCTACACGTAACCTACCGTAGGCTTAATGCTTTAATTAAAGTGAAAGGTAAATAATTAATTTTTATATGACGCCCGTTAATGCCTTATACTTTATGTATAATGTCATATCTAGATTTACCTGTCGCACCTGTTTCTCCTCCATAGATCACGTGATACAGTTAACATTCCACACGTATGGTGACGGTATTATATTACCACGATTGTATCCTAGCAAACAACTGAGTAGGAACGAGTGTTGTAAACATTCTCCATTGATGAATATATTTCAGTAGCAAAATTATTTTATCATAAATTAAATAAACAAACATTAACATAATGAATTAAATTCTTTAATCCACTGATAACAGCACCAGGCATGCATACTTCAATGAACCAAATAAATATCTGCGTATATAAAATCTCTATTACAACTCTAACCTGTGTGTAATCCGTAGGTTTTACTTTCAAATTTGTCACCGGAAATCACTCACCTTTCATTTTGATTTGTCACTTCCGGCTCCGGTGGACTATGTGGTCAGTCTGTTGGTTGTGCTGATAACTGTAAATGAATAAAGGGAACGCTCAAATTGATTAAGTGTATATAATCCAACACCGTGTAAGGTTGTTTTTAATTGTTCTCTGAATCGAATGAGGGAGAGACCACGACGGCATATCGGAAGTATCCAGCGACCTGTTGTCGAAAATAAGAGACAAGGGCGTTCCGAAAACAACAACTTTGGTCTTTAAATGACGTCATGAAACCGTGACGGTTTACAACACTGTCGCTGGCAAAAAATCACAACGTTTTACAAATCTATTGATGGTTTATCAAGACAACAAATACTGAGAGCGTCTTATTGATAGCGGCTGATCATGAGATACTAGTGTTCCGAATGGACAATATTTTTGACGGCCGATAGGTGACATTTTCGCTACTTGATAAATTATTTTTTCACAAACAGCAACAATAAATCAGACATATTTAATTCCGTGAGTGAATGACGCAGTGTATTAAAAAATTCAGATTGAAATAGTGTAACAATGGATTGACTTGTATCTCTACAATATCGGGAGTTTATTGGTTTTAAGTCGCTTAAAAGTGGCGTACACTTGTCAACCTGCAATTGTTGTTTATTTGGTTCAGAGCGTTTCGTCCTCGCGACAACTAAGGTAATATGTAAAGGATATGGTCCAGTTCCTGGCGTTTTATTATCACGTACAGATGTATATTGTAATACTAGAAAGAAATAACCTCACACACAGTTGGGACAGAGGCCTGGATTCGATCACACAAAAAGGCATGGCATATTCCTATAACTAAACCATGCTTATGTAATAGTAAAGGACAATATTTACGTGAATGTGACTATACGTGCTATATGTAATAAAACAATACAATATGTAACTCATAAGACACCTTGCGAATGTTTTAAAACATCAAATACCGTCACAAAAATACGATTATCATGTAATTTTGTAATAGCGTCACAAGTTGAATCCGTAAATAACGTTACAAAAACAAACAATACCATATCACATTAAACGTGAAGTTTTGTTCGCCAAGCTTTCTTAACGAAGATGTTAAGATAGGAAAGAGTTTCGAAAACAGCCATTTGACATGCAATTTGGGAATAATTGACACAATGGCCTAGTAATCTTAAGATATAACAGCTGCATGCGAGTTAAGGAATATACAATACATGTTCAAAATCATACATATAAATTAGGACAAACATCTACCAAACACGAAAGCGATGAGTCGATATCTCCTGTAACAAGGCTATAGTTTTAGTTAGTGGAGACAATACTGCACTTTTATAATTTGCCATTTTTGATTTCCTGCTACCATAATTGAAAGGTTAAAATAAAGATGAAAAAGAAAGGACCTACCTTTTCAACAATTGCAAGTTGTCGACTGTACGTCGTGCCGAACCGGGACTGATAAGGGTATTGGCATAGTGATTACCACATATTGATCTACTGTTAAACCAAATATCCCTATCTCTACCACTTCCTAATTATAGCAGGGCCGAGGTGCCAAACAGGAGGGCTGGCCCCGATTGTGTACACTCCCTCCGTACAAATTAACCCTGCTAAACAGGCCTGGAGTCAGTGATCTTCCCATAGGACATGGGAGAGGTAGTTGGGTAACCCTGACTGTCAGTCTGTCGGATTTATAAAGGATATACCCGATCACTCAGGGTTGTTATGCTAAGTACGATGTGATTATCATAGTTTGTATTGCATCAACCATTTAAGACGTTCTTAATTTACTACTTCTTTCTCTGTTATGACTTGGCTTTTTTACCTTATTCAGCAATAACTGTTTTTTAACCACCATATTTCAAATTTTGCATAATTTATTTTTGTTTTTGGTTATAGCTGAGCGGTGGTATGTTTTGATGGCCTATTTTAACCTCACATTGTACAAATAATTCGCCCATGGCGATGAACAAACGGTATATTTGTGTGATGTTGCGCGTCTAAAACGATACTCAGCAGTTTTAATATGAAGATGAGTTTGAAGATACCACTATTTGGTGATAAAAACATACATTTCGAGATGAATAACGAGATATTTAGAAATATGAAAACGTTCAATTGTTATGGTGAAGCTTTTGGATTTTGATGCCCATGGATTTGTAGGTGACTGTCTGTAAAATCGTGTGAAACTGAAATGTTAGAGGAAGATTGCTTTTTAAGTTTTATCACTTTTGCGTAATCCTTTGTTCTAATTTTGTAAATTACAGAATGTTAGAATTCAAAGCCAAATATCCCTTTCCATTGGACTTCTGCAGTACAATCCACTGTGAGATATATACCTACATTGTACTTATATCAAATCACACAGGATACTACTGTTAAATAAGGTCTTTAAAATACTGAATAAAAAGACAAAGGCATAAAACAGTTCTGTTTTATGTTTTCAGTTAATTTGCTTTAGTTTTAGTGATAAATGTTATAAATTTAACATTTCAAACAGCGAAGAAAATAGAATACTTTATAGGATGCCTAGTGTTTATTGCACTAAACAACTAAGTTTATATATCTTTACAATCCTAAGTGTAATACAATATTTTCCCCCCAACAAGATATATTTTGTTTTGGAAGAGTGTCTCTGACTTAGATTTAGCATGTGTTGTGATCTTAAAAGATTTGATGTCGAAATATAAATATTGGATCCATATACCTCTTTTATCATGCTACCAGTTGGTACTGTAGGCTAATAATGTAATCAAACATGTTACCATAACAACAAGTCTATGTTTTGTAAGATGGTTAAGTACTTCAGAGCCAGTTGTTCAGATTGTTAAACGTTACCGGTGATTAATAAACAATTTCAAAATGATGATTTTTGAAAAATGTCTTGAAATTATCAAATAGTTTTCGGAAGACGATCATTAATAATCTCTCGACATGTAATGTTAAGAACTTCGCAAATTTGTCCAGTTTTTTTATGTATTCACCCGATAACCTCCTGAAACTCTTTCTTCATTCCTCCTTATAGAGTAAGCTGTATATTTACTCTGATATTTTGTATATCACACATCATTTTAGTTGGTTTATTAGGAAGTGATTGTCCTGCCTGATATCACATATCACATCATGTGTTTGTATATCATTGCTATTTTACCCCGACTATTAAAGCATCTTTTTTGGTTATATTTCATTGTTATATTGATTTAACCAATACCATTTAGTTATAATTACCTCCTGTGATATATGTTAACAATTTCCTAAGTTGACGATCTATACTATCTGTGTATAACACTTCAGTACATTTGTTTATTGTCAAAAATATGAGACATAAAAATAAGTGAATACTGTGTCGTTGTTGTGTCCTTTATGCAAATAATGTTAATATGCCGAGCGACAGTGTGATATTGTGGGCCTGCAGTCGTTAGCAGTAACGTCCTGTATTTATAAAAATAAATGAATTTTCAATACTCATTCATAAATACATATCAGTTATATCAGCAATAGACAGTGTAAGATGAATGACAAATCAATATTGTATGATGTGTGTATTATGGGATAGAAATGAACCGGAGAGATCAAGACACGCCCTGACAACAGGGTAACAGACTAGCAATGACGCCTGACTGGGGTGTCGGGGTGGTGTGTATAGTGTAATATCTTGGTGGGGCCCGCTATATAGACACCAACACATGCATGATATGTATCCCCTACTACAGAAACTAGGACATAAAGAATTAACTATTTGGAGATCAAATTGATATAAAAATGTACTGGGTCGATATTTTTAAGACTGTACAAAAAAGCAAAAGGGTAGGAAAGTGGACGGGTTAGAATAAATAATGCAACTGTATCATGTATATTATACAATGGCAAGGAGGATGCTATGGTTGTATTGTTAATACTCATATTGCCATCAAATCACTGTATACCTATAAATGTGCAAATGAAATAGAATAGACTTGAGTTAACTATGAGGGAATTACTGTCACTTAACATACATGGGGACAGATGATTTCAAGGACTAGAAAGACTCTGGCGATAAACTAAGGGCACTAGACGGACTAAAATGACTGATAAGACACGAGTTAATTTAAAATTTGTGTCAGTATAAAGACCAGACGGATGCACTTTAGAAGTACTGTAGAGTGACTATGGAGACACTTGGTGCTGTGGCTATTATACTATACGTTTGTCTAAGGTGAGTCAATTGAGTCACTAAGAATGAAAACGAACCAATGAGGGGCTAGATGAGGATTATATAAGGACTACTAAAGTAAGTAAACCTGTGTATAACAACAATTACGAGACAGATTGAGGTGGAGTGGGGAGACAATGTTTTCTGGATAAGGGACAATACTTATTGACTACAAAAAGAGAAACAGTTTGATGCTGGGAGATTATGTACACCTAGAAACCCTTTTGCACCACTCAGGTGTATTCTATCGAAACTAGTGATACGTGAAACTAAACAAAATCGTCCGTGGTCTAAACTAACCTGCATGTTACCGCCTATGTCTAATCGTTCATATACTGACGTAATAGATAGATGCCAGTGATAGACGCCCCTGTCTGTGGTTAATACTGACACGATCGAAGTTCCATTGACATAACCATGCAGAGGATGTGGGGTCGCCTAGCACGCGATCAATGGCCCACCTAACAGGTAATAGGCGGACATCCTTATATCAAACATCTGTATTCAACATCGAAATCACCCATCATCAATGACATAATCTCATTACCTGCCGTTCTGATTACCTCCTCGTGTTCTGGCCACAGCTGTACCCGGCTGTTGGTTAATCCTCCCCTGTGTGGACGCTATGTCCCTCCTGTTCAGGGTCGTTCCAGGGTTTGTTATGGTCGGGCTGTCAAGCGTGAACTTTACACAAAATTACCTGACGGAGACGACGTGAGAGGAATAATTTATTCACCTAGTAAACTTTAAGGAGAACTGTGCCGCCTTGGGTGTGGCTAGACAGGTTATGCATCCCCGATATCACTGATACAGACAATACACTGACGTAACGACAAATTTGATCATTTGACATCTTGTTGTGAAGACCACATTAGTTTCATAAAGAAGACCCCAACCACATTAATAGTCGCAACTTATACGGTGCGGCTGGAGTATACATTATGACTTATAATTGGATCTGGCATTAGTCAGAATATTAAGTCCGGTTTAAAACGTTGACGAAACAATTTTACTTTTATTTGACTTAATAATTATATTTAGATATACGCTGCCTTACTGAGTGTTCTAAGTGAATATTTTTGGTGAACAAAAGAAACTAGAATTTCAGAATTGAATCCAGTTGGAATTTGGTAATTCAGAGAAATCTAGACACCTGTACTATAACAATGCTATCACACAGGTATTTCATAAAACAATTAAAGAATATTCATGAAGAGACGAGGCGTGTCAATAACCGCGGCACCACTCCCGGCAAAGTATCCCATCAACTTAATGACCAGGTCACATGACTTGACCCTTTGGGCTTTAACATTCTTCTGATACCTGGTGTGTGAAACCCTACAATAAGTGTGGCGGGATGTTACAAACGTATACTGTTAATTATGGACCAATGAAGCAGGCTCTCTAGTAAAGATATTCTCGTAAGTATAGTATATTGAGTCACTCCTACTGAATGCACTTTGGAAATATGAGCAATAACCAGACATTCACTTCCTCCTTCTTTAAAAATTAGTTTTCCTTACCTGGCTTTCCTCATCTATCTTTTTTTCTCTCTTTACTCTCTGTATATTTCAGTTCCCTTACCTGTAATTAAATGTCAGTTATATGTGATAATTCGTTTTGCATAACCAAGACCGTTTTTCTTATTATATCTTATTATCATTACAGTTTTTGTCACTCTTTGGTCCTTTATCCAAAAAACTGTATATTTTTTTCCTTCAAAACTCTTAATTTGATCTTCACATATATATTGAAAACTTTATCATAAGGCACGTTGTCTTTGGTTCTATCAGATACAACGTATTTATATGTTGATTTTCAATTGAGTTCTTTTTTTTTTCTTTTTTTTTCCCTTCTCAGTCCATGTGATTATATTTGTCCAATGAAGATGGTAATACTTATCTGAGTTTATGCCGAGACGTACTCCCGACATCGTTTGTCACCTAGGTTATACCCTCGAACAGATTAATGAATCTTGTTGTTACATCCTAGTAACAAACTCTCCTCCTCAGACGCCAGATAAACTCTCTTTGTGTCCCTATACCGCAGAAGTGGTGTCATCTGCTATTTTTGCGATTATTACATTCCCTTTTCTGACTGCTCAAATAAGGATCAAACCTTTGGTAACATTTTAAATAAAATATTACATTCATCCATGTTAAATTTCTTCGGCTGATTTGTGATGTTTTGAATTGACCTGTTCTCTCGATTTTTTGTTGTTGGTACAACAATAGATATTCTGTTATCAACAAGCAAAGACAATCACAAGTATTTAAAAATAAAAACGTCCAATCGTCATTTTCCCCTCTACTCATCCAGCAGTAGGAAAGGTGTCCTCCTCTAACCAAACCACATTACACTAGGTAGGCTGTCACCATATGTTACGTTGACACTAAATATTTAAACTGTTGATATATCTCTTTACCTCAGACAATTTCTAAATGCATTTGTTCCTTTTCCCCATCTTTCTCTGTCTCGGACAGTCACCCTAGCTGCATTCGTTTTTCACTATCTCGTTGGTTTCATTCTTTTACAACCATTACTGTTTTTTTCCGAAATGGTAATTTATTGCAGTACCACCGAAGGGTCCTAAATGGACCAAACAGACACATGGTGCAGTAATTGATATTGTAGACTTTCTTAACAGACAATCTATTGTTAATACGTGCTACCTTGATTTGTATTTTTTATAAATTATTTAAGCAATTAAGTGATTGAATGCTGGTGCACCGTCGGTCCCCGAGGTCAGCTGTAACCATATAACTGGTATCTGTTCTGTTACGGTGTATATGGATTAATAGGGCAAGAATAACCTATCTGTTGTGACCATTTTTCTGAACTTTTTACACATGGATATGTTGCAGTAAAGGTTTACGTTATGTGACTATCATCTTCAACACACTAATGCATTTCTCTGTATCTTCTTTGTCTAGTTCTGTTCTGATACCATCTTTCCCTCCACATTTTGGAGACGTTTGATTGCTTTCTCTACAGGCCCATGACCTCTTCTGAGATGTTTACAGATTTTGCTGGAAAAGACCTTTGATATAAAATAACTCTCCTCCGTCCGTCTGTTCGTTCAATCGTCATATATGTTTTTATATACTGATGAAGGCTTAAGAAGAGATCGGAGAAATATATAAAAGACGTTCAATTATATATAGGCTTTAACTTGTATATACGAGTATGCTTAACGAAAAGTAACGGTTACGACCAGGGCTTCTTCTTGGTAGACATAATAGAAGAGATATACAAGAAAAGGAAAACCTCACATGGTCAAAATAAAGAAATCAAATTCAAAGTTATATCGGCTGATATAAGCAGACTTTGTTTTTGTTTTATATTATTGTGATCTCACCTAAAGTCATTTTGCAAGGATTCATCTTCATAAACCAATTGAAGATTCATGATGTCCTGCCTTAATACGATGATATACGTAAAACGCATGAAACCCGATAAATAAAGGTATTCTATTTGCAAAATCGTTTTATAGTTGTCGTTTAAACGGAGATTTAATATATGCATAACATATGGCATTGTGTCTCACACAAATCCCCCCCACCCTCTCTCTCTCTCTCTCTCTCTCTCTCTCTCTCTCTCTCTCTCTCAAGAAAATAACAAGACGTCTCAATTATCATCGCTTTATTGAAGGTTGTGTCAGCAATATCATAAAAACATATATAGCACAAAGGCACACAAGTGTTTGGAGATTATCTCCCCTTATAAAAGGCACTATGTGAGAACTCTGAAAAGTGGAGTTACCTCCCTTGTCATGCACTCTGGCTATGACGTAAAATATACAACATTATATATATACCACATACATGTATAAAATAAGTCAAATAACACCACCACATATAACAAAATGATATATGACGTTGTGATAGCCCACATCATCTGGACTCCGATAGTGATGTTATTGTGTAAACACGTACGGGGCGTCATTTCCCTTCATGAATCAAGAGCAACTCTTCGGGTAAAGAGACCCCATCAATGTTGTCTTAACTACCTATGTATCAGATACAAACATGAAAATATGTGTAAAAGATATCGAAAATACAAAATGTTTTATCATTATGTATTTTTACGTGATTTATTTAATTATCAAATAATAGATGACACAAACGTAATACCCATTGTCTTCAACATTACGACAGACTAAACTTGTTCCTGAACTATGAACATATAGCTGTCCCTGACAGGTACTCGTGAGTTGGTTTCATTTGAAGATGAAGATAGTGCTAAAATTACAATGCAAATTAGACTATATAACTAAACAGTGAGTAATTTTAACAACGAGATCGAAAGAAATACTTTCCATCTTCTAAAAATACGCTGGTCTTCCTGTACTGTCGTGAAAAATCACTTCACGTTATTGTAAATGATGCACGCTTCTGTAGAAAGATCGCATCTATAATCACTTAACAATAGGTAACTCATTTTTGAAAAACAATTATTAAAAGCACTTTCAACTAATAGAAATAGATTTTAAAAAATGATAAAATAAATATATACATAACAAAATTGACATGTTCACACGTGCCAAGCAGTCCGACTGGTTCCATTGGTATATTAAGAATCCAGTAATTGTGTGTATTACAATATACTGTTCTCTCATTTACCGGAACTCCGAAATATTAGGCCGGTATATGTAGGAGGTACCGTTTGGATACGTCACTGTTCTTAGGAAGGTGTGGTTCAAAGCTTGGTTCAGAATGCAGTCTGCTTACTATCGTCAAGCATTCGTCGGTAGGTCTGGTAAATCTTCATAAAGTTGTCACGTTCCATGCCATTCATCTCCCTGGAAACAGAAGAAATATAGAGTGGGTCAATGTAAGAGGCGGAAAAACATGACACCAGAGAAATGGCACACAGCCTAATGGTATGTTAACTAATAATCGGTAGGTCATGGCAACAAGAAGTTTTAATGTAATAGTACTGGTTATCAACGTGATATATAGGAAAATATTTCTCTGAAATGTCAGATAAATCTCGTCAACGGTTTAATGAAACCTTAAGCCAAACATTCTACTGAAAATATAATCGTTGAACAGATTAGAACCAAAAACGAAAATTATTACTAGAAAATAATGACAAAACTCCTAATAAAGTCAAAAACAAGTGAAGGTTTTCAGAAACAGCAAATACTCGGAAATCAGGCGAACTGATGACTGAAAGCTCGATGATCATACCAAAAATGTTCGGGAAGGCCTAATCGTAGTGGAAATATATCAGTTGGATGATATTTCTCATGGAAATCTTAAAGCACAGCCAAATTACATATTTAAAAAAATCACGTGTCTTAAAATGAAACAAGTACAACACAAACTCGAAGCTAAATATTGTACCATTGGGTTTCAATGCAAACATAGTTACCTGGAGAACAACTGGACATGAGGAGGAGAAACCTATACATAATCACCACTTGTAGCTACATGTATAAGGCAGACCACATCTGATATCAACCTACCCCAGACACCAGTAAGATACAGGGAAGGAATGTGTTCGAGGTGCTGTTAACTAATGAAGAAAGTGTGTATGTAAGACTGACCGACCAACGAATAGCAATGTTTAACTACAATTGTTTTTCTGAGGAAATTCAAGTGGAATTACTCCAACCAGAACACTACCAAACAGGTATGGGGATACATGTGACAGCCAGACAGAAGCCTGAATCTACCAAACAGGTATGGGGATATAATGTGACAGCCAGACAGAAACCTGGATCTACCAAACAGGTATGGGAATACATGTGACAGTCAGACAGAAACCTGGATCTACCAAACAGGTATGGGGATACATGTGACAGTCAGACAGAAGCCTGGATCTACCAAAAAGGTATGGGGATACATGTGACAGCCAGACAGAAACCTGGATCTACCAAACAGGTATGGGGATACATGTGACAGCCAGACAGAAGCCTGGATCTCCCAAACAGGTATGGGGATATAATGTGACAGCCAGACAGAAGCCTGGAACTACCAAACAGTTATGGGGATACATGTGACAGCCAGACAGAAGCCTGGATCTACCAAACAGTTATGGGGATACATGTGACAGCCAGACAGAAGCCTGGATCTCCCAAACAGGTATGGGGATATAATGTGACAGCCAGACATAAGCCTGGATCTACCAAACAGGTATGGGGATATAATGTGACAGCCAGACATAAGCCTGGATCTACCAAACAGGTATGGGGATATAATGTGACAACCAGACAGAAGCCTGGATCTACCAAACAAGTATTGGGATACATGTGACAGCCAGACAGAAGCCCGAATCTACCAAACAGGTATGGGGATATAATGTGACAGCCAGACAGAAACCTGGATCTACCAAACAGGTATGGGGATATAATGTGACAGCCAGACATAAGCCTGGATCTACCAAACAGGTATGGGGATATAATGTGACAACCAGACAGAAGCCTGGATCTACCAAACAAGTATTCGGATACATGTGACAGCCAGACAGAAGCCTGAATCTACCAAACAGGTATGGGGATATAATGTGACAGCCAGACAGAAACCTGGATCTACTTTAATCACTTAAAGTTGTCAGTGAGTGAGGATGGCTGGGTCATTGGAAGAATCATTTCATCTTTGACAAAGAAACGAACAGAGATGTCAAATATAAGAAAATGCCTTGGAAGTAGCACTGGCACTGCAAGACGAATGACAACATTAGACAATATTAAACAGCAAGGAATAAACCAACTTTAGTCGTCACAGACCGGATCTTTCAACTATATTTGAAGCAAATGCCTATGATAAGAAGCAAAACAAATCAAAAGGTCATCAGACCTATTTTAAAAGTTCTCCTACTGTCTTAACTCCATTGCTAAAAACGGACAAAATGTCATTAGTAATGTCTAAAGGCGTGCCACCAAACCTGTATTATAACCAAAGACCTGTCATATCAAGACTTAGAGCAGTTATGGCTGCAGTTTATAAGGTCTGCAATAGCTTACACCAAGTTGCTTTTCAAACATCAAAAACTGAAAAGGTGAGCCGAATTAGCCAGCTAAGATATAAAATATGTTTTCTGTAACAGGTTGGTAAATGTATCGAACAACTGTAGTGACAGACTCCGGTATCCTAACAAGCAGTGGGCAAAATTCACACTAATGTTTTATCTTTTCATCATAGATATTACGTTTACAAACTGGGATTCTAGTTCAAGAACGAGAACTCGTATTAAGAAGTCATCAGAAGAGAAATCAAGTAACATTATCATATACAAATATGAATGGAGAGTGGCGCCCAATAAACTTACTGGCGGAACTCTCGCTCTAAGATGTATTCCTGTTCCGGAAGTTCCGATGCCGCTATGTTGATCTGACGAGTTGTCTCCCATTCCAACACCTGTCCACCATCTCGACCGGAAGTGGAAGTGGAAAAAACATGTCCGTTACCGCCTCCACCACTTCCGTAAATATGTCCGTTCCCGCCGCCACCACCTCCGTAACCTCCTGAAGTTTCCATGGTCATATTTCTCTCCAGAGTCTGCATGTCTCGTCCGTCCTCGTATCCGCCCTGGTAACCTCCATTCCTGTGCATGTCAGTACCCTGCCAATTTGTAGCCTCCAATTCCTGCAGGCGACCATCAATCTGATCGTCAGGAACTCTGTGGAGTCAAATACAAACACGTAAAACATCTCACTGAACATCAGGGGAGGTAATCTCAAACATGTAAAACATATCACACAACATCAGGAGAGGTAATCTCAAATATGTAAAATAGCTCACACAACATCGGGGGAGGTAATCTCAAACGTGTACAAAAAAAATCTCAATACCATATTAGAATAGGTAATCGTAAACATTTGAATACATCTCGAAACAACAGCAATTAACATACTTGGGGAACACCTCGTCACAACATAAGCGAAACGCTCAACGAATATAACTTAGGAACACCGCTGATTGTGTCATATATAAGTAATGTAAAGTAGCTGAACAGGAAATTATTTACATAAATATCTCTGCTGCTGGATGTACAGACATCCAGTGGACGCACGTGCAGTCATTCTAGACTTACCCTCGTAATGTTTCCAGCCAGACACGTGGTAATTTCATGTCCCTAAAACATAAAATGAAATATTACCAAAAACGAAACTCTCGGTGCTACCATTACTTTCAGGATTTCAAAAACGAGTAACAAAATGTCACAAACAATACTTTGTTTGATGTTCATATTCATATGAACAATCATTAACGTTCGCGTTGGGAAGTAAGCGAAAGGGGACACATTCTCGTAGCTATCGCGATAATAGCTAACGACTAAGTAATTATTTACCAGAAATAGGAAGTAAGAAGCACGTATTAAATTTAGTCGACGCAAAAGCTTTACAAAGTTAACTTGTTAACTGTACCAGACGATCATTTCATCCATAAAGGACTTGTCTTAGGTACCAAAGGTCGAAAGAATAAAAATCCTTGTCTCACGTGTTCGAGAACATGCATAGAAAACAGCAAAACGAAAAAGAGCCTATATAAAAAACTTCATAACGTTAAATGTACAAGTTTTGGTGCCACTGATATTTTTAGTTTTAAACCAGTTTTCATGTTAACGATGTCAGAATAATTCCGGCTGCAAGGTTAAGGCAAACCTTGGGGACTGATAGTCTATCAGCTTGTGATGAATAATTATCACTAGAAATACGAAGTAAGAATAAACGTATTAATAAATATGTCAGTCGATTTAAAGATAACGTTAACATTATCACTGCACATTACGGTCATTTCGTTCATAAACGGCTCAAAAAGTGGTACTGAAGATTAAAAAGAATGAAATTCTAGACTGGTTTCCTCCCCTGTTAGCTCCTCTGCAATACGCTTCACAGAGATTGGTAGCGAGTAACCTTGGGCAGGAATCCCTTTTCCAACTTGTGCGCATCTTTCTCACTCATTGTTGATATTGAGAGTTCTGACGATAACTGCTTTTGAAGATCTCATTGTGTATATTATTTCGAAATTCAGAGATGATGCATCATTTTCATATGCGCATCTAATGCTCTTCGCTTGTAATGTTTTCAGTCAATCCAAGTGCGTGCGTGATAGCGATGCTAAACCCCATCGGGTTTTACTTCTTAGTAACTGTACCCGTCACCGGATATCGGAACTGACCAATGAAAAAATAAACACGGGTGCCCGCTACAGGTCCTTTGTGAGGCGAGCTAAGGGAGGGAACCATGACAGTTTAGGAAAACCCATGTCTGATGCATTCCGAAATAACAAGGTTATTGGTGGAAGATAACGATAGTGATTTGGTAGTTAAACATTTGTTTATATACTCACACTTCATACAGGTTGTCGTAATCCACCTTGTCCAGCTTGTCCCAATTCTTGTCAAATGACCGGAAACTCATGATTGACTCCACGTCAGTGCTGCGACCACTGGAAACAGAAAGACGAGTGTCTGAACGTCCGCTCAATGCCGAGCAGTAATAAGCCCTCTCCCACTTAACTGTGGTTCTCTATCTTCAGTGACCTCCCCTTAACTTCTGTTTGGATTTAGCGGTAGAACTATTGGGTCAGACCGCTCTCGTCGACAAGGTAGCACAATCGGTTAGGGCGATAGTTATAGGCAGTAAGAGTAGATCAGAGTTCGAATCCGGGTCTATCCCCGCAATGTTTTTTTTTTATCACTTATAACAATGTTCTTGATCATATTGTGTTTATTCCATTTTAATAAAAAAAAAAAATGCCTTGAAAGATATGGATTTCTTACAGAAATGATTTATCAAAATTAGAGTCTTACTGGAAAGAAAAACAGTTTCCAATATTTAGTAAAAGTGTTTGGCAGTGGTATGGGGATCTTTAATTACATGTACATTGGATATTTCAACACAAGCTTCTGGAGCAACGTATCATAATATCCTCAATCAAATTACAACAATAAAGCTTACCTTATGCCATCGTGCATATGTTTCTCTTTCCGCTTGGCGGCGCCACCGGCTCCTGCTCCTGCTCCTGCCCCTGCCCCTGCTAACGCCTTACCTCCCTTGCCGCCAGCTCCCCCGCAGCACAGACACGGGAAGGGGCAGAGACAACAGAGGATAGGGATTGCCAGAAACAGGAAGGTTGCCAGACCCGTGAGTACGCCTGCCAAAATGGCGGTGTCCTGATGGCTTAGTCCCGGGAGAACACCCATTCCTGCCCCATAGAAGATGGGGCTTTTTGCAATACTAGTTACCTCCCCTGAAAAGAGAAACAAACGATGGAATTCTAAATAAAACGGAATTGCAGATCGCAATTGGAATCAGAAGTGATGTGAGTTGTGAGATGTTATTTGTTTTAAAGAGACTGAATTCAATCAACATTAGTAACACCTTGCATCACTCTAGGAAAACGATCAACCATCAGAGGTAAAATAGATATTGTCTACCATTTCCTACACACAATAACAACCATCGCGTATATAACCAGTAGCCATTCATCGATCACTACCCTAACTCTCACATTGATGACCTGACATTACATGGATTTTACCTAGACGTACAATGCAGGTGGCGTTAATAAAGCAGAAGACGGTTATCCTTCCGGGACACTCTGCATTATCTCCCCGTACTTTTTCAGGGTTTCCATGTACATTTTCCTTTGTTCAAATGTTGCTGTAATTTTAACGATTCTAAGTTCCATAGAAGTATTGTACACGTCGATGTTATCTCTTGTTGTTAATAGGTAACCTTATTTCCTCTCCACAATCTTAGTTCTGTTCTTTGTCCAGTTTCTGTTATACTGTAGTACTATCGACCTTATCATTACAGAACCCCGTGTGGACCCGATAGAAACAATAACTTTAACTCACCCACAAGGTCCATCTTTACTTGTCATAATAAAAGTATCATATGGGAATAAGATCGGAAACACACCTGTTTTTATACCTATTATGTTTTAGAATATCTAGGTCTAGTCATAGGATCCTGATGTCAGAACTTACCATTCGTCAGTAGCAACATACCAACGTTCAATTGGTGAGTTAGACATCATGATATAGTGGATGCGACCTACTGACCAATAACGTCCTCGCCAATGTTTATTGTCTCTGTGTATTGACGCTGTGGTATAGTTTGTCCCTGTGTGCTGACGCTGTGGTATGTTTTAGTCTTGTGTGCTGACGCTGTGGTATATTTTAGTCTTGTGTGCTGACGCTGTGTTATATTTTGTCCTTGTGTGTCGACGTTATGGTATGTTTTGTCCCTGTGTGCTGACGTTGTGGTATGTTTTGTCCCTGTGTGCTGACGCTGTTATATTTTGTCCTTGTTTGTTGACACTGTGGTATGTTTTAGTCTTGTGTGCTGACGCTGTGGTATATTTTGTCCCAGTGTGTTGACGCTGTGGTATGTTTTAGTCTTGTGTGCTGACACTGTGGTATGTTTTAGTCTTGTGTGCTGACGCTGTGGTATATTTTGACCCTTTGTGTTGACGTTGTGGTATGTTTTGGCCCTGTGTGCTGACGCTGTGGTATATGTTGTCCCTGTGTGTTGACGTTGTGGTATATTTTGTCCCTGTGTGCTGACGCTGTGGTATGTTTTGTCCCTGTGTGCTGACGTTGTTATATTTTGACCTTGTTTGTTGACACTGTGGTTTGTTTAAGTCTTGTGTGCTAACGCAGTGTTATATTTTGTCCCTGTGTGTCGACGTTATGGTATGTTTTGTCCCTGTGTGCTGACGTTGTGGTATGTGTTGTCCCTGTGTGCTGACGTTGTGGTATGTTTTGTCCCTGTGTGCTGACGTTGTGGTATGTTTTAGTCTTGTGTGTTGGCGGTGTGGTATGTTTTGCCCCTGTGTGCTGACGCTGTGGTATGTTTTAGTCTTGTGTGTTGGCGTTGTGGTATGTTTTGTCCCTGTGTGCTGACGTTGAGGTATATTTTGTCCCTGTGTGCTGACGTTGTTATATTTTGACCTTGTTTGTTGACACTGTGGTTTGTTTAAGTCTTGTGTGCTAACGCAGTGTTATATTTTGTCCCTGTGTGTCGACGTTATGGTATGTTTTGTCCCTGTGTGCTGACGTTGTGGTATGTTTTGTCCCTGTGTGTTGACGCTGTGGTATAGTTTGTCCTTGTGTGTTGACGCTGTGGTATATTTTGTCCTTGTGTGTTGACGCTGTGGTTTGTTTTAGTCTTGTGTGCTGACGCTGTGGTATATTTTAGTCTTGTGTGCTGACGTTGTGGTATGTTTTGTCCCTGTGTGCTGACGCTGTGTTATATTTTGTCCTTGTGTGTAGACGCTGTGATATATTTTGTCCCTGTGTGTTGACGCTGTGTTATATTTTGTCCTTGTGCTTTGACGCTTAGGTATATTTTGTCCTTGTGTGTTGACACAGTGGTATAGTTTGTCCCTGTGTGTTGCCGCTGTGGTATAGTTTGTCCTTGTGTGTTGACGCTGTGGTATATTTTGTCCTTGTGTGTTGACGCTGTGGTATATTTTGTCCTTGTGTGTTGACGCTGTGGTTTGTTTTAGTCTTGTGTGCTGACGCTGTGGTATATGTTGTCCCTGTGTGTTGACGCTGTGGTATATTTTGTCCTTGTGTGTTGACGCTGTGGGTTGTTTTAGTCTTGAGTGCTGACGCTGTGGTATATTTTGTCCCTGTGTGCTGACGCTGTGGTATATTTTAGTCTTGTGTGCTGACGTTGTGGTATGTTTTGTCCCTGTGTGTTGACGCTGTGGTATAGTTTGTCCCTGTGTGTTGACGCTGTGGTATATTTTGTCCCTGTGTGTTGACGCTTTCGTATATTTTGTCCTTGTGTGTTGACGCTGTGGTATAGTTTGTCCCTGTGTGTTGACGCTGTGGTATATTTTGTCCTTGTGTGTTGACGCTGTGGTTTGTTTTAGTCTTGTGTGCTGACGCTGTGGTATATGTTGTCTCTGTGTGTTGACGTTGTGGTATATTTTGTCCCTGTGTGCTGGCGCTGTGGTATGTTTTAGTCTTGTGTGCTGACGCTGTGGTAGATTTTAGTCTTGTGTGCTGACGCTGTGTTATATTTTGTCCCTGTGTGTCGACGTTATGGTATGTTTTGTCCCTGTGTGCTGACGGTGTGGTATGTTTTGTCCCTGTGTGCTGACGCTGTCGTATATTTTGTCCCTGTGTGCTGACGCTGTGGTATGTTTTGTCCCTGTGTGCTGACGCTGTTATATTTTGTCCTTGTTTGTTGACACTGTGGTATGTTTTAGTCTTGTGTGCTGACGCTGTGGTAGATTTTAGTCTTGTGTGCTGACGCTGTGTTATATTTTGTCCCTGTGTGTCGACGTTATGGTATGTTTTGCCCCTGTGTGCTGACGTTGTGGTATGTTTTGTCCCTGTGTGTTGACGCTGTGGTATAGTTTGTCCTTGTGTGTTGACGCTGTGGTATATTTTGTCCTTGTGTGTTGACGCTGTGGGTTGTTTTAGTCTTGAGTGCTGACGCTGTGGTATATTTTGTCCCTGTGTGTCGACGTTGTGGTATGTTTTGTCCCTGTGTGCTGACACTGTCGTATATTTTGTCCCTGTGTGCTGACGCTGTGGTATATTTTAGTCTTGTGTGCTGACGTTGTGGTATGTTTTGTCCCTGTGTGCTGACGTTGTGGTATGTTTTAGTCTTGTGTGCTGACGCTGTGGTATGTTTTAGTCTTGTGTGTTGACTCTGTGGTATAGGTTGTCCCCGTGTGTTGACGCCGTGGTATATTTTGTCCTTGTGTATTGATGCTGTGGTATAGTTTGTCCCTTTGTGTTGACACTGTGGTATATTTTGTCCTTGTGTGTTGACGCTCTGGTATATTTTGTCCTTGTGTGTTGAAGCTGTGGTATATTTTGTCTTTCTGTGTTGACGCTGTGTTTGATTTTGTCCCAGTGTGTTGACGGGGTGGTATATTCTGTCCCTGTGCTGACGTTGTGGTATATTTTGTATCTGTGTGATGATGCCGTGGTATATTTTGTCCCTGTGATCACGTGATAACTACCTAAACTCGTCACAGATGTTGACTTACCAAATCCGCCCTCACAGACGCAGTTTGGGTCAGCTGACATGCTCTGCCACGTGCCGATACCTAGCGGAAAACAAAAACATCATACAAATAAATGACAATATCGAATGGTTGGCCTTGGAGAGTTTTGGTAGCATACGCATATGCATCACAATAAATACAACTGCACTTAACAGTCTCTACAAGATACAGAGACAGAATTTATTTATTTCATTTCCATAGCAAGTCAGCATTGCGTAGTATACATGTATTGCGTGCACTCGTAGGAGGGAAACAATGTAGCAGAGCATGTTACAAGGTTGAATGGGGAAAACATATGACCGGGAAAACTCGAGCGGGAGAGATAAGTTTAATGATTTGATTTATCAATTTACGCTATTATATGAATATATGTAAATGAGATGTAATTCTTTTTAAATATACTGTTCGTGCTGACCAGGTTTTCACGTGATAATGTCTGGTGATATAGGTCACAAAAGCTGTGTTGAGGACATGGTGTCTGGTGTATACAGAATACCGTTAGTAAACTAAAATGTATTGGTTATATACTTACTGAACTGATGACTGTCTAGAACTGTTGATATAAGTAAAAATGTCATCTTATACGGATTGGGTGGATGTACGAACGAACAGATAGGATTGTATCACAGGGGAACAAATATTGGGATGTTTATTACTTTCCGACCTTTTTCTCAGAGCCTAATCTATAAATATTGTCTGAGAAAGGCCGAAGGGCATGCGGCCTTTCTAATACATAACTCAAAGTAATGAGATTTTAAGTTCGAGGATACGAGTATATAGTGGTGGCCATGGGATCGCCATTACATCAACAGAAATAATCATACAGCAAAAAACCTCCAGTTACTCTGAATCAGACACGCTTTGTAATATACACTTTTTAAATGAAATCCTTAAAAACGTCTGACTTTTTAATTGCATTAGATAAGTCTTTCGAGTGGAACGGAATTCCCGGGATAGAAACTCGCATATATTAAATGTTTACAGTATATAACTGGGAGCTGGCCTGGAGATAAAAACTCACTAAAATTAAGTGTTTATTGAAGTCAACAGTGGGCTGTCTGGAGAAGACGAGAATTGAAATAAAAACTCACTAAAATTAGCTGTTTATTGAAGTCAACAGTGGGCTGTCTGGAGAAGACGAGAATTGAAATAAAAACTCACTAAAATTAAGTGTTTATTGAAGTCAACAGTGGGCTGTCAGGAGAAGACGAGAATCGAAATAAAAACTCACTAAAATTAAGTGTTTATTGAAGTCAACAGTTGGCTGTCAGGAGAAGACGAGAATTGAAATAAAAACTCACTAAAATTAGCTGTTTATTGAAGTCAACAGTGGGCTGTCTGAAGGCGACGAGAATTGAAACAAAACCTCACTAAAATTAGATGTTTATTGAAGTCAACAGTGGGCTGTCTGGAGGCGACGAGAATTGAAACAAAAACTCACTAAAATTAAGTGTTTATTGAAGTCAACAGTGGGCTGTCTGGAGGCGACGAGACTTGAAATAAAATCTCACTAAAATTAAGTGTTTATTAAAGTCAACAGCGGGTTGTCTGGAGAAGGCGAGAATTGAAATAAAAACTCGCTAAAATTAGGTGTTTATTGAAGTCAACAGTGGGCTGTCTGGAGGCGACGAGAATTGAAATAAAAACTCACTAAAATTAAGTGTTGTCTGTATCGTCCTCGAGGCGACGAGCAAAAACGATGATGCAACATCTCTAAGATTTATTTATCAATGCAAACAAAAAAAGTCATGTGGGTTCTCATTCTTTTATAATTTTACTTACTATTGATATACATCGTTCATGTTTATATGTACTTTATTTGGGTGAAAATATATCGGTAAGGCACGTTCGAGTATGACATTGTGTAAGTACATATTTCTCCCACCAATACACCGCTAGCTGTTGTGTTACATGTTTATGGTGCACTCAGCACTATGACTGGGAAACCTACCGTAGAATACTTCTAACAAAGTGCATACCTGTACAGGTTTACACGTACAGTATATATATGTACTTATTTACCTGTGGAGACAGTCGTGTAAAGGACACAGGTAAAACAATTGGACGTCACCTGTATACCAGTACGTATAGAGTCCTTACCTAGCTAATATAACCATGTGATGTCGTGTTATGTCGTCGCTTCCGGACAAACCTAACGGAGCCACAAAACATGTCGTTAACATGCGTCCCCGGGGGACAGGCGCGAGGCTCTCAAACGGGGTTACCAAAACGTATGTTTATTATAAGTCATGTTCTAAGGTAGTCGGGTTTTTCACTTACCCTTAATTATCATTACTCAACAATGCAATGCGTAAAAAGTGAGAAGGAGGGAAGTGTGTGTGGTGTGTGTGTGTGTGTAGGGGGGGGGGGGGGGGGGGNGACCTATGACGGGGTCGCATTAATTAAATCATATAGTCACCTTCGAAGAAATGAAAAACATTGATTGATATTTTCGTTGTATTTTAATGTTATTAACATTATAAAACATGGCATCCAGTCTTGAAAATGATGCAACATATTTTGCGTATAATAATTGTAAAATTTTAATGAAAACTGACACACTTGACAAATGATTGACAATCGCATTCCTAGTGATGTACATTACAGTTGATATATATTTCTCTCGTCCGTCGCTGAAAGCCGTCAGTAATTTCTCTTTTCTTGTTTTCAACTATCGAGCCATTCTTTCAACAGGTGCCGGTTAAAAGAACTGTTAATTAACCGATTTATTAATAGCTTTCTTCATTTTGTTTGGTTAAACCCATAAACTATGGAACGTGTCCTTTTGAAATTTGGCGCCGATAACTTCGTGCTCCGCCATTATGAAAATTCCACCGCGAGTTAGTACACTATTACTGATCGCTATATTCTTACTAGTGGTTAGCCTTTTTGAACTTCAAGATTTTATTAAAATCAAACAATATCAAAATATTTGAAGAATACTAAGATAAAATCAATGTATAGATGTGTAACTTGACATAGCTTTGTTGTTTATGCATATCATTGAGCAAACTTTTCACTACAAATTCTTACGTGGTTTGTTCTCATTTGTAAACAACAACGTCAGTTACTTAGAAGTGTCATACAAAATTGTGGCAGACAGAAGTTCACAGCTCACGACTGTTGTCTGTGACGTTTATCTCACTCTCGTTAGCTAATTATTATTTTTTGAGATGAAACAGAAAAATCCGTACAGGATACGAAACGACTGTTGTTTATCATACTCCATGGATTCTTCTGTGTGGCAATACTAGCCGGTCGTTTACAGTTGTGTCCCCACTCTAGAGCCGGGTTTAATATGAGGACGTTTGGTAGATAATTACGCTTTAAGGCTGTCATTTACCTAGACGAGTCAATCTCAGAAATTATAGACTTGATCGTGGTGTGTTTGACCTTTGGTGACCTAGCAATATATTTGGTAAAGGAGTTTGGCAATATATTTAAGGATGCTTGATTGGAAAAACCACAAGGTGGTAAATATACTAGGAAGGTTGAGGGAGAATGTATTAAGGTTTTTATTTAATTTCTTTTTTATTATTTAGTTCGCTGAGATGGGATGAACTGGAAAGTGATGTCACTAAATTGCGTTTTGATCATTTCAGGGTGTTTATTGCAAAACACATCTTCTGAACTTTATGACAAAACCGGAAGTACCGTAAATATATATTGTACTACTCATGTCTACGTTACTGCTACTACAATTAATATTTGTGTGGACGTCTGTCGTTCTGGCCATTTGTGTTCATTTAATCAGTTAAGATCCACATAGTTTTTATATATGACAAACACGTTTTTTGTTTATAAACGTATTTTTCAAACCATCATTTCTATACCGCAGACTTTACCTCCCATTGTGAGTACTTCGTCCCTCTAACCGTATAAATCAACATAATTCTACTTCAAATACTTTAACGGAACTGAAGAATTTTGAACTTTGGAAGTGTAAACAAAATAAGCAACGTTCAACTGAATGGTTGACATTATAATTTATGATTTCTTCTTCTTATAAGTCTTATAGGGACAATTTGACCGACTATCTTGTTTTTGTCAATTTTACCTTTTAACCTCAAAAAATAGCTGATTTCTAGACTGATGACCCTTACACCAGGTGAGATACTACTAGATCCATCTAAAGATTCCGTATTCAATTTATAGATGTATCGATGTTTTTAAGGAAGCTGTTTACCCTCTGGCGCCTCACATTTCATCACAAGGAGATACATATCTTGAGATCTGGGTGCGACACAAACTTGATAGCCGCGAGCGGTCAGTGTGACGAACAATCCGAGTCATAACAAAGCTTAACGGTGAATCACACAGAGACACAGGAACACTCATAGACACTCATTTATAGTAATATCAAACGTTGATATCTAATAAAAACGATGCCAGGTATATATTTATAAAGTATGCGAAGCGTCTGCTGTTTGTTTCAAGTGTTCATAAATAATGTATAGCGTCTTCTACTTGTACAATATATATATACAGTATATGTAAACGATAATTTGCTGAACACATTTACTGAAAAGAATTTCTAGATAGTTTGAATCCACAGCTAACATTGCAGTCAGGGAAGTTTAAAAATAAGGCATATATTTACTCAATTCTGTCGAGAATTTGTTATGCCTTTTAAGATCACGTGACCCTGTCAGGCCAATACTTTTGTAAAGTTCTTCATTCTTTAACGATTTTTTTTGTCACTGACCTTCCTAGCGATTAGAACAGGACATTTGAGTTACTACAGAAAATAAGTTTAAACATTCTCAAGTTCTTTCTTCGTTTTAGAGGACCGGGTCTTTATCAAGTATTTAGTCGTAAAAAAGTAAATATATTCTGGCTTGAGGAAGAATGTGTAGTCTACTTCTGTGGTATTTAATGGAGCTGGCGCGTATTTTCTTTCTAATTTACAATTAACGACACAAGAACGAAACATCTTATAACGGGAATAACTGAGGCCGGGAATGTCTCCTGATTGTGTCCCGGGTGATCTAAGATGTTGTACCGTTACGGCAAGTTGCTTGACCATTGATCACACTATAATGGAAATAAAACAACATTCCGACGCAGTACAGTGGTAAATAAGAAACGACTATTTCTGTAATGACCACTTGACCAAAACAACATGTCCACGTTAGAAATATGTGGTACTTACCCGCAGTGGCCATAGTGTTAAATTGTCCGTTAGAATCAAATCTGGACGCGAAATTCTCACAAACTACTGCTAGTTAAAACAATGGCGGACAGGCTTTCGTGATGGACGTAAATCGCCTCTGGTCATCTAGCGCGCAGTGATATGATTGGCTCCCGTGACAGTCAATAATTCTCCGTGACGTCACTCGGTGAAGGGACGGCCGCCCGCGCCTCGGGTTGCTGCTGCAGTCTGGGGTCAAAGGTTACAGTATGATGAGTTAGAGAAACCGGAGAATTCATACATGCGTGATACAGGTACCACTAATCACAGGTAAAACCATGTGACGTAAACTTGGCTAAGGGATCCGCCGACATGGGCTGTAGATCAAAGACATTTACACGCTATTAACTTCCTCCGCCTATCCGTGGTTTTCACGAATTTCAACACACAGAATAATCTGTCGAAAACGATTCCAGATAATCCGTAACATTGTTCGGAAAAATACATATGTCAAGCCACGGGAGTCAGACACGTGGAACTAAGGCTTATGTGGTACTGGTGTTGTTTCATCATACGTAAAATTGTTCTTCTCTAGAAAACACATGAAAAGTCAGTATTATCATCGAGGGTTTTTAGCGGCCGTTTTCAAATGACCTGTCTCGGTCACACAAACGCTTCAAATATAATATTTGGCTGTCGCTTCAAACTACTGGGTGGGTGACCGAAATATAATTTGAAAATGCTACTAAATATTGAGTTTGTTTATATTTTCTTGTGAACAATGATCGATGGCTTCGAGGAATAGTCCGTTTAAAAGTTTGTTTGAATTGTATCGATACAAAGTAGAGATTGGAATTGGCTAGTAATTAGGCAGTCAAGTATTCGGAGGATCGACCGGTAAAAGTAAATTGATCGATATTCAGAATGAGATTCATTGGTTTAGTATGAATAATAAAAGCTCATACTGTACATAAACAGTAATTGAAAACTTACTTTACGAGCTTTCTATAACGTGTTTCCTATGTCAAGCAAAGAGTGCAAATGACCGGTGTCTCTACTCTAAACCGCTGAAAACAACTCACTAAGCCACTATATGCCGAATCAGTAATGTCAACAGTCAGAAAATATGGAAACATTTCGTCTAAATAGCACTCTAATACTACAGGCAGTCAGAGGGACGGGTAATATGTTTACCCATCCCGCCCCTAAGTGGATGTCAAAATGGGGTTATAAAGATGACTCAGCTGGTGCCCCCTCGTCTCTGTTCATCGAATACCCTTCCCTACTGACCCAGATGGATTCTTTGATTTTCCTCCCTTTCAAGCACTTTCGAGTTGTTCTAGTTTATGATGTGGTTGTGTGTGTTAGCATGGTCTGTAATTGTTTTCTGGAAATGTATTCTACGAATAATTGGCACAATTTTGAGTTTAATCAACATTTTATCCGATATCATATCAATTTGATAGTTAAGGGTAACGCAAGCTACATGCACTTTTTCTAGTATTACAACAGATCGTGCATCTATAATAGACATTAAGCTGTAGATATGCCTTATGGGAGGAAATCCGAATATCTTAATCAGGTGTTTTTTTAATTATGTGTAAAACACTCTATGGTGATTTAATCATCTAATCTATGTAACGAATTTGTGTTGAAAAATCGTCTGGAATAAAAGTGCCCAACACTTACATATTCTATACAACCTTTACTGGCTGTAACCTCATAACTTTGTTTGAGTGATTCAAGTTTTGTTTTCGAGGAAATAAACATAAAGCGTCGTTTTATCGTATATTTCTTCTCGTCTTTTTCGCAACGCACCAGTCGTGTATACCTTTGAAAGCATTCGTATATGAGTTTTAATCTCTTAAACTGAAATGGTGTTGTATCATCTGTAATAAAGTCTTTTCTGCTGTTGTCTAAGGTCAGAAGTAAAGACTTTTATCACATAATGTACTGTGTTATCCAGTGAATATATCTATGTCATATTTTTTGCGTATTAACCCATGTATTATGACCTATCAGCCCTGTGATTAGTTGTAAGTATACAGTTTTGACTATTGACTGAAAGGGCATGTATTAACTGTGTTGTTACTTACAATTATCTGTATGGACTACATTTGTATACACATTACAAAATACAACGCAACACATTTTTAACTGTGATAACGTTTAACTTTAATGATAACGATTATGAACTTTAGAATTCTTACCGCTGCCTTTAATACATTTTTGGTATTACGAGAAACCCCGTTCCAAACAATTCCAGTAAACCCTGCTCTGATATTTCTTGAATACGTTATCTTTAAGCGGCTCGTAAACAAACGACGTCAGCGTTCGCAAAGCGCTTTAATCGAGATCAAATACGTGATTGGGTGCGTTCGTTGCTAAGGAAACGTGTGTTAGTTAGAGAGCTTCCATTGAAAATAATTTTGACTAATTCATGGCTGTATATGAATAACGCTATTTTCACTATGGATATAGTCAAAATTGCTTCATTACTTTTCATATAGAGAGTCAGGTATCAATTTCAATTTTGATGTCACGCCTAGGACAAGTACATGATGTCACAGACTTAGGCACTGGAGTCAAAATGGCGGCTTTTTACATTTCAAGGTTGCATGAAAATTGTCGTTTTACACAAATAAATGCCCCAAATCTTGATTATGCGATAAGAAGGATCTTAAACTCGTTTTCATTTCATATGAAATTTATGAAACTAGTAACGATTTAGCTCGTCAGAGGCTCGCTAAATTGAAAATGTCTAAGACTAGTTTCATAAATCTATTATGAAATGGAAACTCATGTAATATCCTATATATGTGAGAAACAAAATCGGACCAAGAAAGAACTAATAGACTAAACTCCAAAAAAATCATAAACAGTGATATCAGTAATAACGATGATTGTATACGGCTCTCAAAACTATGTAATCCTTATAAAAATGGTAGACTCCGTACCTATCACAGTCGCTGAAACTTACATTACCGGAGCCATTTGCCAACTTAGACTCGGTTGTCTCCCTTTGATTATTGGTTCATTTTCCCTGTGATCGCCCTATGTATTCTAAAACAAGATCCGTTTTATTTAGTTGCCTTTGGCTAATCATTTTGCATACTCTTTTAACCAGTTCATTTTTTTTTAATTCAAATGGTAAGTTATCAGATTTAATTCAAGAAAGTGATCTTAAGTTTTCACTTTCAAAGACTATATAGCCACGGGCTCTAATCTAATTCCGTGATATAGCTTATGATTCGACGATGACGATCTCTTTTAACAGAAATGTTTGAATCAACTTGCATAATTCGTCACATTGTATTTGTTTTACTCAACACATCAAAATCTTCAACTCTTTCGCAGGACAATTTCCCGCTCTGTGAAAACTCTCGAGGCACGCTCCCATGGAGTTATCGTCCTTAGATGACGTAAGCTGTTGATAGGGTGTTATAGCATGTACCACTAAACCATAGAGTACTTTACTGAGCAACGAGTGGAAACTGTAGTAACATAGGACATGTTATTCCTATAATAGCTGAACTTATATCTTTAATCTTATTTGTTTGATTAGCATTGTCTCGTAAACCAAATTTAGCGATGTATAACTTTCAAATATGAAAAAAATATGTATTTTATAATTGTTATATCGATTTGAATGCATTGTATGTGTTATGTTTGTGAAACGCGACACGTAAAAAATCGATTGATTGATTAATTGATTAATTGCAACAAACCCTTTGCGCAATGTTCGATATACAATAAAATGACCCCCGAGTTATCTATGATTACAGGGATTAGAAGCGGTACTCGGGAGGGATTAACTGTAGTAGGTATACCTAATATAAGATAGAACAAACAAAGAGTTACCTACCATCTTACTCACCTTTGAATCAACTTTAATAAATCAAGTTTTGGTGTTTTACTTCACTATTTAAAACATATTAAAATGTCATTGTTTAGAAAGCACTCAAGCATATTCCTTTAAATTGATTGATAGTAGAAAAAATGTTGTAATATGATAATTAATGTTTTTAAAACTGTACACCTGCGGATATCGATTTTATTTTATATAAAGATGTACGTTCTTCGTACCATAAATGTATTTGTTTCAAACACAGAAGTGACCTAACTGAGCTCGTGTATAATCAAAGCTCCCCTAATCCCTTATTGGCCTGATACTCAGCTTTTGTAGATGTTTACGTGTACCAGCACTACACGTTCATCTACAATTCCGATTGAGGACTGATACTTCGGCAGTTGTATTCTAATATTGGATGTACCTACTTTGTTAGGTCACTTCTGATTGCTTACTTCTTGCTCACGGAACCAGTTTACTGAAGCGGGTTTGTTTAATTCTAAGAGAGAGTGAGTGGAAAAGGGGTTGTGTTGTACTGTGTTAGGATGATAAACATATGCATACCGGGATTAATAAATCGATACTCTTCAAACACAATACCCGCCGACACCATCTGTTCTGTTAATCCTTAACAAAGATCCAACACGTGCACTCCGTCTATATCCACTGACATTGACAAGTTGACATGGTTTGCTTTATATAGTATCAATATTAACTTTAACTATTTATCTTACAATTTATATTAATCACTTGTTGGTCTGGGTGTCAGTCGTAGTGTGGGAGGAAACCGGAGAAACCCTTTTCTAATTTTCACATCCGATCGGGGGAATCGAACCCCGGTCGCCTTGGTAAAAGCCAATTGTTATCCACTGTGTCGCCATATCATCCGAGTGGCAAGATATAAATAAACCGAGTGTAAATATTCTCCAAATATCTTGACAGAAAATGGCGATCATTATGCCAGCTTGAAACAGCTTAGCATAAACCATTACTGAAAATATGCGTTTAGGAAAAATCAATAATTATAATAGTTACAAATGGATGATGTTGAAAATGTATCAACCACTAATGTAATATTCATCGAAGGGTTAACCTGCGCCCTCTGTGTAACCGAGTTACACTAGTCCCCCACTGTGTTACCGAGTTACACTAGTCGCCCTCAGTGTAACCGAGTTACACAAGTCGACCACTGTGTAACCGAGTTACACTAGTCTGTCACTGTGTAACCGAGCTACACTAGTCTGTCACTGTGTAACCGTGTTACACTATTCGCCCACTGTGTAACCGTGTTGCACTAGTCGCCCACTGTGTAACCGTGTTGCACTAGTCGCCCACTGTATAACAGAGTTGCACTAGTCGCCCACTGTGTAACCGACTTGCACTAGTCTGTCACTGTGTAACTGAGCTACACTAGTCTGTCACTGTGTAACCGTGTTACACTAGTCGCCCACTGTGTAACCGAGTTGCACTAGTCTGTCACTGTGTAACCGAGTTACACTAGTCGCCCTCAGTGTAACCGAGTTACACTAGTCGCCCACTGTGTAACCGAGTTGCACTAGTCGCCCACTGTGTAACCGTGTTACACTAGTCGCCCACTGTGTAACCGTTACACTAGTCTGTCACTGTGTAACCGAGTTACACTAGTCGCCCACTGTGTAACCGAGTTACGCTAGTCGCCCACTGTGTAACCGAGCTACACTAGTCTGTCACTGTGTAACCGAGTTACACTAGTCCCCACTGTGTAACCGAGTTACACTAGTCGCCCACTGTGTAACCGAGTTACACTAGTCGCCCACTGTGTAACCGTGTTACACTAGTCGCCCTCTGTGTTACCGAGTTACACTTGTCGCCCACTGTGTAACCGAGTTACACTAGTCGCCCACTGTGTAACCGAGTTACACTAGTCGCCCACTGTGTAACCGTGTTACACTAGTCGCCCTCTGTGTTACCGAGTTACACTTGTCGCCCACTGTGTAACCGAGTTACACTAGTCGCCCACTGTGTAACCGAGTTACACTAGTCGCCCACTGTGTAACCGTGTTACACTAGTCGCCCTCTGTGTTACCGAGTTACACTTGTCGCCCACTGTCTAACCGAGTTACACTAGTCGCCCACTGTGTAACCGTGTTACACTAGTCGCCCACTGTGTAACCGAGTTACACTAGTCGCCCGCTGTGTAACCGTGTTACACAAGTCGCCCACTGTGTAACCGATTTACACTTGTCGCCCACTGTCTAACCGAGTTACAGTAGTCGCCCACTGTCTAACCGAGTTACAGTTGTCGCCCACTGTGTAACCGAGTTACACTAGTCGCCCACTGTGTAACTGAGACACACTAGTCGCCCACTGTGTAACCGTGTTACATTAGTCCCCCACTGTGTAACTGAGACACACTAGTCCTGCACTGTGTAACCGAGTAACACTAGTCTCCCACTGTGTAACCGAGTAACACTAGTCTCCCACTGTGTAACCGTGTTACACTAGTCCCCCACTTTGTAACCGAGTTACACTAGTCGCCCACTGTGTTACAGAGTTACACTAGTCCCCCACTGTGTAACCGCGTTACACTAGTCGCCGACTGTGTAACCGTGTTACACTAGTCGCCCACTGTGTAACCGTGTTACATTAATCGCCCAATGTGTAACCGTGTTACACTAGTCGCCCACTGTGTAACCGGGTTACACAAGTCGCCCACTGTGTAACCGAGTTACACTAGTCGCCCACTGTGTAATCGTGTTACACTAGTCGCCCACTGTGTAACCGTGTTACACTAGTCGCCCACTATGTAACCGTGTTACACTAGTTGCCCACTGTGTAACCGTGTTACACTAGTCGCCCACTGTGTAACCGAGTTACCCTTGTCGCCCACTGTCTAACCGAGTTACACTAGTCGCCCACTGTGTAACCGAGTTACACTCGTTGCCCACTGTGTAACCGAGTTACACTAGTCCCCCACTGTGTAACTGAGACACGCTAGTCGCCCACTGTGTAACCGTGTTACACAAGTTCCTCACTGTGTAACTGAGACACACTAGTCGCCCACTGTATAACCGTGTTACACTAGTCGCCCACTCTGTAACCGTGTTACACTAGTCGCCAACTGTGTTACAGAGTTACACTAGTCGCCCACTGTGTAACCGGGTTACACTAGTCGCCCACTGTGTAACCGGGTTACACTAGTCGCCCACTGTGTAACCGAGATACACTAGTCTGTCACTGTGTAACCGTGCTACACTAGTCGCCCACTGTGTAACCGAGATACACTAGTCTGTCACTGTGTAACCGTGCTACACTAGTCGCCCACTGTGTAACCGAGATACACTAGTCTGTCACTGTGTAACCGTGTTACGCTAGTCTGTCACTGTGTAACCGGGTTACGCTAGTCGCCCACTGCGTAACCGAGTTACACTAGTCTGTCACTGTGTAACCATGTTACACTAGTCGCCCACTGTGTAACCGTGTAACACTAGTCGCCCACTATGTAACCGAGTTACACTTGTCGCCAACTGTGTAACCTAGTTACACTAGTCCCCCACTGTGTAACCGTGTTACACTAGTTCCTCACTGTGTAACTGAGACACACTAGTCGCCCACTGCATAACCGTGTTACACTAGTCGCCCACTATGTAACCGTGTTACACTAGTTGCCCACTGTGTAACCGAGTTACACTAGTCGCGCACTGTGTAACCGATTTACGCTAGTCGCCCACTGAGTTACACTAGCCGCCCACTGTGTAACCGAGTTACACTAGTCGCGCACTGTGTAACCGATTTACACTAGTCGCCCACTGAGTTACACTAGTCGCCCACTGTGTAACTGAGTGACAGAGAAATCTCCAACCCGAGGGATAATATTCTCTAATGTTATAAGCCGAGGGTAAGTCATTCGAGAATATCATCCCGAGGGTTTGAGATTTTTCTGTCACACCCGCAAGGTAGGGGATGATTATTTTTCTCCCATCCCGTTTCACTTATAAATGACATATAAACGTTGATTGCATGTTTTTCCAGCAAATCCAGAGTTGTCTTTCATAGTCTGCTACTGATGACGTGACGTCAATGCTTTGATGATGTGACGTCATACTATTGTTATGACTTATATCGCGCCATTCTGCACGAGGCTATCCTATATATTGAAAGGGAGACAAACCTGTGAAGGGTAGGAGGAACATATGTCATGATATATCTATCAGCCTAGCTTTACAGACACTAGTTTAAGCCCTTCCTGCGTGACATTAACTGTCGTGAAATTATATAATCATATCACGTCCAAAAGCAATGGAATATAATTTCGTATGAAGATCTGCATATGCACGCGTTTACCCTCAACTCGTCACTAATATTGGCTTTTCCCCAATGCTAGACTTTTCCATGCTATATCGTATAAATGATGACGTCGTATACCGCAATGTTTGCCGCGGTATTTGTACTTAATTATAAATTATAATTGGTTAAAGTTTCTCGGCGACAAAATCGCAATTAAGATTCTACTGTTTTGAACGAAGAAGTGTTGTCTTTCTGTTAAAATGAAATCATAAAAGATAGCGATGATTATTCTTGGCGTTACATGATATAAACTGGGAAAAAAAGCATGCGCTTTTGCTTCCGGTATATCTGTATAACCCCGAAAGTAATCTTGCTTATTCCATAAATAACCCATCAACTTAGACTTAATGGAGGAATGATGATTTTATTAACTTTACCACAGCGATATACTATGAGTAAAACCGATATACTGGCAACAATCCCAGGAACTGCTAATAACAACGGACCTCTGAAACGTGAATGATAAACAATGTGTATACGTCACAATAAAATACCAATATAGCCTGTGTACGTATTGTCTCTGTACACGTCATAAAATAACCTCAATTGTATTACGGTATCATGACCACTAATTACATGACACACGTAACCGCAAGAAAATAAATGTATACAGTATATAGATGTATATGAACAACGTAGTAAAATATCTTCGTAACGAGCAATTATACAATCAACGTAATCAAAACGGTTGATACATTTCGAAAACAACTACATCTATTGTATTTCCTTTGTCAAATTCTGACTTGATAAGAAAATCCATAGATATTTAGACACCAAATTTGCCGAGTTGTCTTTTCCATTAACGGACACTATCAGTTACACGTCAGCGACCCCCTGGTTATTACGGTTTGGTGATAAACTATTTAGTGGAACAGTTTCGGGGGAGCACTCCTTCCTTCCGGTTGATCCTTTAGTCATCATACCCAACAACCCCCCGCTGGCCTCTTTTTCTCGAACCTTCTTGTTGTGTTCCTCTTCCAGCGCAAATTGGACGTGTTTGTAGTACATTATAAAGTTGTTGACGAGAACCGGTACGGAAAATCCGATCATTAGCAGGCCAGACAAAGCACAGAACGACCCCACGAGATATCCCAAGTTTGTGGTCGGGTACATGTCACCGTATCCCACGGTCGTCATGGTAATGATGGCCCACCAAAAACCGTGCGGTATTGAGGTGAATATCTTGTGGTCATCCACGTAGTATATTAGTGAAGAAAAGACTAGCATGCCCACCAGAAGAAAAGCCGACATTAATAATAGCTCCTTGAATGACGCACGTAACGTATAAATGAGAATCCAAAGTCCTGGCACGTGCCGGACCAGTCGGAATATCCTCAGCACCCTGAAAAAGAGTAATCTCCCTTGATGAAATCGAAAAGAATTAAGAAATGTAGAAACTTGAGAAATGACAGCGATTTTCTATAAATAACAACAATGACCTTGACCTTGGTACCTTGATAAAACATACACTCTGTTGAGGTACTCTCATACTCTACCACTGTATGTGTGATGATTGATATAAGCATCCATTCAGAAATGAACTGACAAAAGTGATATCAAATAATTCATAAAGGCACATTGGTTTCTCGGAGATAGAATTTCCTTTATAGGGAACTTTATATTGTCAAGCAAGTTATTTCCCCTTTGTATTATCTTATGATGTAATCAAGTTAGCTATCTACCCTTATAATCTTGTGATCCTCAGACAAATTTATCTCCAATTATTACAATTATCCAGTTAGTAAACTTTCTCAGTAATCTAGTGATCCAGATACGGAGTTATCTCCCGTTAGTACAATTATCCACTTAATTAGCTCCCCTGCTTTAATGGTAATTCTGAGAGAAATTAGTCGCCTGCAATTATACTTATCATATAAGTAACATTTCTCCTGATAATCCTGAGACAGAGTTATCTTCCATTTGTACATTTATTCAGAAAGTAACAATTCTCTGATGATCTAGAGACAGAGTTATCTCCCATTAGTACATTTATCCAGTAAGTAACCTTTCTCTGATGATCTAAAGATAGACTTATCTCTCATTAGTAATTTATCAAGTAAGTTACCTTTCTCTTGTTATCTAGAGACAGAGTTATCTCCCATTAGTACAAATATCCAGTAAGTTACCTCCCCTATTTAAAAGGTAATTCATAGACAAATAAATCTCCCGTTATTACAATTATCCAGTAAGTAATCTTTCTCAGTTACCTGGTGACCAATATACAGAGTTATCTCCCGTTATTACAATTAATATATGTTACCTCCTTCAGTAAAATAGTGATGCTGAGACATTAGTAATCTAGTTACTTCCCCTTGTTACTTGGTGATGCTGAGATAAAGGCACCTGCAATCATTATTGCTGTTTACCTGGTAATTCTGAGAACAGAAATGAAGTCCACGGACCCATCAAACTGTAGTTCTGGGTTAACGTTGTAGACGATGAGCTCGATATAGTCGGGGATGAGTGCCAGAAGGTCGATGACCCCCATTAGAGAGGTCAAGTACTGTAACCTCCGCCTGGACAGACAGAGTCGACATATAAATTCAACGGTGAAGAATGCAAGACAAATGATGTCTATTACTGCCAATACAGGGTGTGTAACAGATTCTGTTTTTACGTCACCAGTACTCGTGCTCACGTTTACTGGAACCACACTTCCATTGACGTCAGAGTAATTTGTGTATGCCGTGCCGTTGGATGATGATGTTGGTATGTTCCTGTGTAATGAGTAGCTGAAGCTCGGGTGGGTTTCCGCCATGAAGCTGAAGATGGACACCGCCACAACCATCAGGGAAATCCAACCGTAGATCTACAAAATATCAATTATAATCAGTTAAAACAGTTATACATCAATACTATAGACACACTCAGACTATCAAAATGTAAACTGAAGAAATAGCCAATGATATTCAGAAATAAAATCTGAGAACTAACAAGGGGGTATAATCATATCAAAACCTCCAATGCAATCAGCCTGTGATTCTTGTAACGAGAAATTACATTGGTCAGTTGCCGTCATGTGTAGCGATAACGATGTTTTTGAAATATATTGTAATATCAAAAATATTTTTGTATCGAAGAAGTAAAATTGAAGTGTCAGCCTCAATATTTCAATCTAAGAAATAACGCCGAATTAGCGAAAATTATTTATCCATATAAGCTATAGTTTGTAAACCGCTCACGGTGCCACGTGACTGAAGGTATTCACGAACACTTAAATGACGCGTTCCGGCAGCCTTGTTCTCCGCTGACTTGTAAAGGTAATGTTTACTGGTGCGCCATTAGGTAATGTTTACTCGTGCGCCATTAGGTAATGTTTACTCGTGCGCCATTGCTGAAAATTCTGAGCGTTAAAAGGATTATCTTGGAGAGTTCGCAAGAAAAAATATTACAGTTTGAAAAGTGTATTCGATAATCAGACATGTACGAGGTCCTATGAATAAATTATGTCACAGCACAGCTCCCGTGCGAACGTGCAGTATACATATACTACAGTTTAGCCCCTTGGTAGACTGCAAAAGCATTTACAGAATACTGCACGTGCAGAAGTTCGACATCTTCATTGGTGAATGATATGCATTCCTGGTGGCTACTTTTCAATGCTAGAATGAAGGTTGAGACTAAACCTGAAATAGGCTGCGATATCAAAGCTTTACAAATACCACCAAAACAGACACACGCAGAGTTGTGAAGCTAAAAAGGCACATCTGCCATCACTTTGAGAACTGTTTACAGGTGTTTGAACAAATTCAAGAGTGGTAAAGTCGACATCAAACAAGACGCACAACTAGGCAGGCCAGTTGTTGCAGCATCTAAGAAATTAAGGATGATGGTCGTTATACTGTTTCTGAGACAGCTCGTATGGTAAGCATTTGTGTTTCAGGTACCGTGCAAAGAAGGAAAATGTATGACTGTTTTACAAAGACAAAGTACTGAAGCCTGTCAAAAGATTATACATGAAAGAGCGTCCAAGTAAACGGTTGAATGGCATCTAGCCAATTCACGACAATGGCTCTTCCAACAAAACCCATATTATACAGTTGTTTTTGAAGCAAGAGAATGTGGTACAAATTGACCACCCACCCTATTCACCTGATCTAAGTCCCTGTCACACTTCCTGTTTTCTTTACTAAAGAAAATACTCTCTCGTGGAAACGGTATGAATCTTCCAGTGTCTTGTCATGTTACCAAGGGGAGACTACCGCGCAGTGTTTACACCAAGGACAGCGCTATTGCTGCGAGAGTGCGTTTCTGCTAAAGGGGGTGATAACAAGGTCAAACGATGTGCATACATCATACACGTGGTTCCTATTGAATGGCCCTCGAGCATGTTTATTACAAACATATTATTTAAGATTCAATAACAAGCTTAGAGCTTATATTATAGCCTCTCCTAATCCCTTTTGATTGCGATAGCAGTACCAGATGGCGCTCATAGATACGAACGTATTTCCGACGTAATTATATTCAAACACGCACCGCTCGCGATGATGGCTTGTTATGCTTTAATCTACCAATGCGGTAATCCGAGAACGAAAAATTACACCTTGAGACTATAATCGGATGATGTGTGCATATTTCCTATGTGAACCTCTCCAATGGGGTTGGGGGTATCGCGATTTTATTTTGGGAAATCTAATTGATCCCTTAAAGAAGTGCGTGAGTTCGACAGTAAATTACAACAAACTGAACTCGAAAATCCTGATGCTTTATCATGTAAATATAAAACCGTTGTCGATTTTACATGTACTTAGTACATTTCGTAGGCATTTTATTAACACAGAAATGTTTTAACGGCATAGGGAGATTCATTGCTACAGTGTACGTCCTTAGGACGATTCCTCGCCTTATTGTACGTCTCTAAGGACGCTTTCCTGTCCTAAAATTACGTACGGCCTAAGGACGATTCATCGCCTTATTGTACGTCTCTAAGGACGTTTTCCTGTCGTATGATTATGTACGTCACTTAGAACACGTTCCTGTCATCTAATTACGTACGTCATAAGGACGATTCCTTGCCTTATTGTACGTCTCTAAGGACGCTTTCCTATCATATAATTACGTACGTCATAAGGACGATTCCTTGCCTTATTGTACGTCTCTAATGACGTTTTCCTGTCATATGATTACGTACGTCCCTTAGGACACATTCTTGTCATTTAATTACGTACGTCCTTAGGACGATTCCTCGCCTTATTGTACGTCTCTAATGACGCTATCCTGTCATATAATTACGTACGTCCTAAGGACGATTCCTCGCCTTATTGTACGTCTCTAATGACGTTTTCCTGTCATATGATTACGTACGTCCCTTAGGACACATTCTTGTCATTTAATTACGTACGTCCTTAGGACGATTCCTCGCCTTATTGTACTTCTCTAAGGACGCTTTCCTGTCATATAATTACGTACGTCCTAAGGACGATTCCTCGCCTTATTGTACGTCTCTAAGGACGATTTCCTGTCATACAATTACGAACGTCCCTTAGGACACGTTCCTGTCATCTACTTACGTACGTCCTTACGATGATTCCTCACCTTATTGTACTTCTCTAAGGACGCATTCCTGTCATATAACTACGTACGTCCTTAGGAGACTTTCCTGTCATATAATTACGTACGTCCTTTGGACAATTCCTCACCTTATTGTACGTCTCTAAAGACGCTTTCCTGTTATATGATTACGTACGTCCCTTAGGGCACGTTCCTGTCATCTAATTACGCAACTCCTAAGGACGATTCATTGCCTTATTGTACGTCTCTTAGGACGCTTTCCTGTCTTGTAACTTCGTACGTCCTGAGGAGACTTTCCTGTCATATAATTACGTACGTCCTAAGTACGATTCCTTGCCTTATTGTACGTCTCTAATGACGCTTTCTTGTCATATAATTACGTACGTCCTTAGGACGACTCATCGCCTTATTGTACGTCTCTAAGGACGCTTTCCTGTCATATAACTACGTACGTCCTTAGGAGACTTTCCTGTCAAATAATTACGTACGTCCTTAGGACGATTCATCGCCTTATTGTACGTCTCTAAGGACGCTTTCCTGTTATATGATTACGTACGTCCCTTAGGACACGTTCCTGTCATCTAATTACGTACGTCCTTAGGACGATTCCTCATCTTATTGTACGTCAATTATGACGCTTTCCTGTCATATAAATATGTTCGTCCTTAGGACGATTACTCACCTTATTGTACGTCTCTAATGACGCCTTCTTGTCATATAATTACGTACGTCCTAAGGACGATTCCTTGCCTTATTGTACGTCCCTTAGGACGCTTTCCTGTCTTGTAATTACGTACGTCCTGAGGAGACTTTCCTGTCATATAATTACGTTCGTCCTTTGGACGATTCCTCGCCTTATTGTACGTCTCTAAGGACGATTTCCTGTCATATAATTACGTACGTCCTTAGGACGCTTTCTTTTTATATAATTACGTACGTCCCTTCGGACGATTCCTTGCCTTATTGTACGTCTCTAATGACGCTTTCCGGCATATAATTACGTACGTCCCATAGACGATTCAACCAATAGCGTGCCTCTTATACCTCATATTAACAACAAAAATTTCAAGACTCCGTCACCGATCTTCGAAAACTCCAGTGACATTTGATACTGTAACAATCATTTAGTATATAATTTAACCAATTTATTCAAAAAAGTGATGAGCATAGAAGTCAAGCCCATACGTAGTTGTGGAAGTTTGCATGATAAATGTTGTATGTTCGGTTAAATACGGTGAAACAGAATCATAACAAAAGTGTAGGGGAACAGTCCCACGCTTATTCAGTTTATAGACAACTTTATGGGACAACACGGGTGTAAAATTTACATTATTTTTTTATTTTTTTTTATAAACATATAAAAACTAAATTCGTGTTTACTGTATAGTGTGAGATATATGAATGGCCACAATAATATCAGGTACCAGTGACGTATTACGTTTCTCCGAGACTGGATAGTGTGAGACACGGCTATAAATAGCCGTATCACCGGGTATAGGTGTCTGTGATCACGTAAGCGTGTCAAGTGGCAACTTTATATCACCTCACACACATCTCTGACGCCACATGTACAGCACACCCATACTTTACAAAAATAGCACTGAATAAATAAAGTCTATTTTACAAGAAAGGGGTGTTAACAGATGTTTCGGGTTTAACGAGTACCTTTTATTACAGTAGTTTGAAATTACTTTTAAAGGGGTTTATTCTCCTTAATTTTGAGTGCATTAAAGAGTTTTTGAGGTGTTTTTTTTTTGCGTTTGCGTTGTAACCAGATATCCACCAATTATGAGAGAAATGCATTTCAGTAGGCCATGAACGCAATACGATCATGTTCATTATGACGCTTCTCCTCCCGTCTCGCAAAACACGAGACCATTGTTTGAAGCAAACATTTAGGTGATGTGAGGGATGTATTTTGCACATCACAAACAACTATAAATAAAGGATGTTAACATACGTATTAAACGGCATTATTGCAATGTTCATAACGATATAAACATCAGTCTTTTACATAATGTATCGTGAGGCGGGCGACCTGGATTACGTGCGTATTATACATGTTTATGTTACCGTCTTGCGTTCATATCGTCATGAACGTTGACATTTAAGAATTACCCGTTTTCCCTATAAAAGGGAGCGAAACAGCTAAGGTTGAGAGATAAAACGGCAAATATGGAAGGAGGCATGCTTCTTTTGTTTAGGGAGACAAAACGCTGATATTGAGGTGAAAGTAAGTAGTCACTGCGAAAGTACAAAACAACGGGAGGTAAAACATATTGTCGCTTCATAACTTAATACGTGTGAATGTATATATGATAGATAAATCCATCATATTTTCTTATAGGCAAAGTAAGAGGTAATTTTGTTAGAGAACAGGGATTTTACTCCACATCCTGAGTAACCAAATTTACCTTTGCTGTTCGTGATGATGCGGGATCGTTTATTATCATCCATAATCGTGGCCGCCATTTTGTCCAAGTTGTCTTTTCTCCCTCCTCTGACTCTGTAGAGTCTAGTAGCGACCCCTTGCGGTCGTGCTCGAGTTGGTTAAGGGCGTTAACTGTGGCGTTCCAGGAGTTGTAATCTGTCCAGCAGCACCTCTCGATCAGATCGTCTTGAATCTTCCAGAATGCCAATTCCGCTTTGGCCGCAGGTCCGCATATATTGGAGGGTAAGTGAAGCTCTCCGGTACGGAGGTAGTTTAGTATAGACTGCAAAATAGTAAAATGAGTCAGAATTTCCCGTTCATTCGATATGTCAATTAAATGAAAATATAGACCTGCAGTTCATATGCTAAAATAAGTCAAGTTTACTTTTTTCATAGATTAATGTCGAGGTATTGGTGGTTAATTTGTCAGCTGTTCCCAGTTGTCTTTGCCGGGGTACATAAAAACGAGCAACACATACACACACATTTCACACAGTAGGGGAGATAACTCCCATATTCATATCCTAGTGGAAAACAAACGATACCTACGCTATCGTCAACACAGCGAAACCGAAGTCAATCGTGAAAAACTGGTTCAAGCAATACAACAATAAAAACGGTCAGTTAAAAATGATGGAAAACTCAGGGAAAACAATTTCGAATCAAATGGTTCGATTCTCGGTATTTTTATCACGACATAATTGAAGGCTTAAGGTAAGCTTTTCATTGGTTCCAGTCATCAACAACTGACCAATCACAAGGCTGATACACAGTAGTTTCCTTACTAAAGTCAACTCGGACCATCCGCAAACCGACGCGTACGGGAAAGATTATTATTTCACAAGACGTTCCAAGAGTATAACCGTTCAGGCAATCGGGAACCGTCGGCACTTCCCGTATAAATAGTATTTTCTCGTTTACGGAAAGTGCCGACGGTTCCCGATTGACCGTTCCGGATATAGATGACAATAGACTTACCTATATCTTGTACCTATAAAAGTACCCGGATGTTTTACTTAGAAAATAATCACGATTTTGTATTAAGATGCAAGCTACAGTTTAAAAAAAATCTGATCAGGGAATTTTAAATATAATCACTAAAACTGACCTTAGTAAGTTACTAAATACTTATAAAAAGGTTCCATATTGCAGAAATAATCAACATGTAAGCGTGTATTATGTACAATGGGGAAATATATAACGAAAGGGAGAAAATAATGGATGGTAATTAACGACGGCCATTTCTATCTCAATGCGTTCCGTCATAATTAGGGCTGCAACGATATATCGTACCGTATCGTAACGTGATACTTTCTTATGTATCGTTTCGAATCGTTTTCTGTGCCTATATCGCGATACATTAACGGTTCTGTATTAATACTGAACGATATTAATCTTGTTTTTTTATTTGACTCCAAGCTCTAAGAGTTTACTTGTTTTGGAATCTCTCAGTAAAGGTAAGGCCCACTGTGCAAAAGTACTAAAAATCATACAAAACATATTTTGACAGTATCTACTATACATATATAGTTAAGTCAATGACAAAACTCTGTTAAATCCTGGACTCGATCCTTCCGAAGTTTGACTTTTGAGCAGATACGTGTATCGTGATACGTATCGTAACGTAAGCATCATACCGTGATACGTATCGTAACGTAAGCATCACACCGTGATATGTATCGTATCGTAAGTATAATATCGTGATATGTATCGTATCGTAAATATAATATCGTGATATGTATCGTATCGTAAGCATCACACCGTGATATGTATCGTATCGTAAGTATAATATCGTGATATGTATCGTATGGTAAGCAGAATATCGTGATACGTATCGTATCGTAAGCATCATATCGTGGTAATCGCATCATAATTATCGTATCGTAGTATGTATCTCACCGTGAGCTAAGCGTATCGTTGCAGTTCTAAACTCATAATATACAAACATATAATAACATATCTAACACAGCCACACACGGATCACTTATTTACATTAGCTCAAAGGCTAGGGGTGTCCACGTCATTCTTCAAAATAGGTTGTCTCAAATATCTCCTAGCCGGTATAGAATTCACACGATGTGGTGGTATAGGTGGTGTACAGTGTTGCGCAGTTTAGGGATGAAATTGATCTTATGGTATCCAGTGTGTGCCAAATCGGAAAATAATTGGACGAACAGCCATTGATTTAAAGCAACGGAAGAAAACATAAAAAGGTCCACAGGGGGATGGGAGGGGGCGGCAGGAAAAATCCTGAGAGACACTTCCAAATTAAAAAGCTTTTCAAAATGTATTTACTGAAATCTACATTGTCAGTTGTAACGATTAAATGTCACTTATCGCAGTGCTATTCCGCATTCATATCTGATATAACAGGATGACCTATTGTATACAGCTGTGAGTTTCTTAATACATTTCCTGAATACTTACCGTACAGCGGGTTACATTTACGCCTTAAAATCATTGGATTATGTTTTCAATACTTAAATAGCATTACTATTGTAGAATTTAAAAGGATAGCGTATAACTTCGGTTGTAAGATCTAAATAGTCCACCTTGTTACGATCGCCCACACGGGTATCATAACAGCTGAACTACAATCTTGGTCTGGACTGGACAAACCCGGGCCCTGATCACTAGACCAGGAATGCTACGGTTTCGGAAAGGAAAGTGTCTTAAACTTGAAATATCGGAGAATGTCAGAAGAATGGCTGTAAGTCATTTAACTTTTAGCCGTCTCGCCGTCACCGTTCGTACCGGTCTCTTACATACGGTAAATGACCCCACAGGGTCGCTTTATTGCGTTATCTCACTCCCAGTGGTAATACGTTGTATTCTGGTTGCGACGTCGGCAACCATCATGCAACGTCCGGGCAACGCCTTTTACCAGATGTTGTAACAACGTTAGAAATTGGGACGTGAAGCTATACAGCTTATTGTTTACAAATATTTTCTAGTTAAAATTATCTCTCCAGGGTGTATCGGTATAATAAAACGGTTAAAATATTGGGTTGAGGGATGTAACAAGTTTCAAGTGTCCCTTGACCATGCCTATTTCCCTCGGCTTCGCCTCGGGAAATAGACCTGGTCTCGGGACACCAGAAACTTGCTATATCCCTTAACCCTATACTTTAACTGTATATTATTACACCTCTACTTTATTTACTCTATATAAAAGTGATTGGTTAAATCGAATATATCCCCATTTTTGCCTGAGTGTGTTTTAGTCCTGTGTGTTAGTCTGGGAACTAAAAACACACCTACACTCGGGTATTTCCGCCGAGCCAATCAGGCGAGAGGTGGGCGGAGCTTGTTACCGAACTCGGCAGTGACGCGCGAGGTGGACGGAGCTTGCTACCGAACTCCGAAGCATTTGGCGTTTGGTGTAATAAAACCAGATACATGTAGTTGTAATTGTTCGTGTGTAAGTTACGTAACAGGCTTTCAACAGGATACATTTATTTATTTATGGAAACCACACAAGAACTGCACTGACAGCGGTAGTGCTAGCCTGAGTTTCCTCTCCAATGACATATTCCGAGACATTTTGACAGATATAGATGTCTGGGGATATATCAGTCAAAATGTCACAAGTCTAGAGATGGAGACAGAAATAAAACTTCGGCTAGCCTATACCCGCAGATCTCGCTGGTCATTCGTGGTGTAAATCAGAAATTCAATATGATGCAGCATCACTGTTTGACTAAAAGCCTGGACCACTACAGTCTAGGTATTTCCACGAAGACTGATAAACTTTGCGGTGGTATTATTTCTATAATGTAGATCCTGTGTAAGTCAATGAAATATAGGAAACATGTGAACAGAAACAAGAGAATATGGACGTGTCAACAAAACCATAATTCTAACTGCAAATCGATAAAAGAATGGGGAAATATGAACGAAGGAAAGGTTTTACAAGGAGAATAAGACCAGGCGTTCAGGAAGGATCAGCGTCTTCTGCTTCATTCGAGGACACCCGCGATATAAATCTAGTCAAATTCTAGAACCGGGGTAATGACGACAAAGCAACACGACGGCACACTAATGAGCAAAAACATCGACTCTCATATCACTCACAAAAATAGAATAATTCCTAATGAGATCATAAAATGGACCATAAACCTTGCCTACAGTCTTAATAATCTTACATCTTTTAAAATCCTTGTTGCTTGTTCGTCAGTCTCCGTGCTTTACGAACGGTCCTTCACGAACAGCACTGCGCGAGCCGGAGATCTAGGGGACACTTGTCGTATGTTACAGCATTGTAACAAAACCACACCTGGTCAGATGAGCGGTGCCCGGGCCCCAGGGATATATACCTTTTTTAATATATTTTCGTAACACATGAAATAAGACACAAGTTATTCTGATAGGTAACTGCCCGCACGCGTATTGTAGCGAGAAGATTCTTTATTCACGCTTCAAGTTGTTTGCTTCATGTAAATTTGTAATTATGCAATGGGCACAATGTGAACTGACGTGACCTTGACTTGACCTTTTTACTTGACCCTGTATTTTATTGGCTAAGGTGGTTATGAGGGAAGGTTTATGAGAACTCTCCTCTAGTAGTCATGAGAAAGAGATCTGTTGAGGCATCACCAAGTATAAATTACCCAGGTGTTCGTTGGATAGAGTGTGTACGTATAAATTACCAAGGTGTTCGTTGGATAGAGTGTGTAAGGCTTGTTTGAACAGATTCACTGGGGATCAGTTCGTGACCCTCAACCCTCCGGGGTCATGTGTATATTATGTTATTATGTAAATGGGGTACTGGTCACGAGGTCCCTGGTCATAGTGGTCTAAGGGCACATAACTCTAAATCCGGACAATGTTAACTGGGCGTTGTTTCTATGAATTAGGAGAGAAATAAAAAATAAAAAAATAAAAAATTGACAAATGCAGCTTCAGAACTTTGTCTGATTATTGTAACCAAACGAGTACCCAACACGTTGTATATTATGTACAGCTAAATCTATAATACTGTAAAATCATAAATTTTCGTGGGACATTAAATTTCGTTTAATTCGTGGATACCAAAAATCCACGAAAATAAATCCCCACGAATACATAAATTTGGTATGATATAGATAGGGGAAAATCAGAAATCAGAAACAGGCTAGTATATGAAAACCACGAAATTTTAACCCCACGAAAATAACAGATTCTACAGTACATAATCACTAGCAACAAGTTCTCACTGTACAGACAGCCGTTACAAAGTCTCCAAAAGTACCAAGTAGCTGTAATTGATGCCCAATCAAAAAGCACACCTTCACACCTCATTGA